TTCAGGTACGCTAGATTGGCTTTTGACCCCCCCCCCCCCCCCCCCCCCACTTTCAATCCACCTACTGTTTGTAATCATTTTGTGCTGAGGTGTTCTGGTACGCTAGATTGGCTTTTGACACCCCTACTTCAATCCACATACTGTGCCGATTTTGTTTATTATTTTTTTGTCATGTTTTTTTTTCAATACATACAGCATGCATTTGGAAAGCGGTCGGGAACTCGCCAGGGAGTTGACCGTGCGTGACGAGGAGAAAGGCATTGTCAATCCTGTCTTCCAGTTCGACGATGAAGCCGACGATGATGTGGAAATCATGGCCACAGAAGCTGAGGAAGGCGCTACAGGGTATGTTACCCTCATGCGGTCACACCGAAAAACCGACTCCAGTCTGACTCCAAACCCGACTCCAAACCGACCGATTATTTTCGTAATGTTATAACTCGGTCAGCTGTCGGTATTATTTGGTGTGACCGGTGTATTAAAGCCCCACTGCGTTACTTATAGCTACTTGCGCCCTCTATATAGCCAACAATGCCTAAGCGGTGACCATTGGTCCCCCATAATCCCATTTTTCTTATGTTAATTGAGAGCTGATTTGATGGGATAACCACCTGTCAGTGACCTTGCAGGGAGGTCTAACTCCCTCCTGACCAAAACTAGTGCACAGGGGCTTTAAGAAGTAGGAACAAGAAAGAAGATCGGAGATTTCATATGAGAAAATCATGCCCTATACGGGAGGAGGGATAACCAGGGTATATGATAATCGGTGAACGGACCCCCCCCCCCAACCCCCGTTTTTTAACAAAATGCTTCGCTTCAAACGGGCCGAAAAATGTTGACATCTTCTAGCAAGCATATAAACCATAGATTTACAAAGTTAACAGTGACAAATGAATACCATAAAACACGATAGAGAGAAACGTGGCATTCTAGACTGGTTGCTGTGTTGATTATTTAGCAAGAAATCAGGTAATGTATAGGAGGCGCTCACCACCGATAGGGGTCAAGTTATATATGGCCTTTAAATTTATTTATTTATTATTGTTATAATTGTTTTTCTATTTTTTTTCTATTTTTTAAAAATTTATTTATTTATTTATTTATTTATTTTTTATTTTATTTTTTTATTTATTTATTTTTATTTTATTTTTATTTTTTATTTTTTATTTTTATTATTATTATTTTTTTTTTTTTTTTTTGGGGGGGGGGGGGGGGGGGGGTCGGTCGCGCAAAGGGCAATACAACATTTTTTTGTTAAGCTTTAGGGTAGCCTGCATGATACGCCTTTCCGAGATCTTTTCATACAGACAAGGGGGTTGGCGGTCGGATATTGGAGAGTAAAGATCATAATGTTGAAAACAATTTATTCATGCTTGTGAGAAAACAACACAAATCTGTACAAGTCTAAAATGGTATCACACCAATGTGCATTTCAAACAAAATGGAGCAAATATAAAAAATAAAAAAGGAACGATGACTATGATAAAGTCAAACTTGAATGTTTCAAATTTTCTCCTTCAGGTCTGAAGAACCATTGATAACGACGGTTTATCTTACCGACGGAAAGACCCAATCTACTATAGCCATGACAGCGAATGATGAACCTAAAGATGTAGAAAAGGCCGTTGGTAAGTAAAGCAGAACATCTATGCCCAGCTGCGATCTTGTCTGCGAACGTCATATGCTAATGTCGTGCTTTACTGTGCAATTCTGATGAAACGTAACGCACCAACACCAACTATTCATCCGTATTATAGCGATAGAAAGTCATGTACATGTTAATTTGAGTAAAATAAATGTCGGGAAATTGTTTTAGCAAATCCATTAACAAGCTTGAAATGTCCCATCTTTTATGGGAAAAAATGTCCCGAGCCTGGTTTTGTAAATTTAGCGCGCAAACACGTTTTTTGTAATATCTACATATTTACCACTCCTTACTCGAGAGATAACAGGACCTGGTTGGATGCTGTCAAAGAAATATGAAACGAAATCGCTACATTATATGCCCTCCAGTCAACCGTGTAGGAATACGCCCTAGGGGTGGAGATGGTGCACATTGTGTGCGAGAATGGATCCGATGGTCGAGCTCCTTAATTTAATTGGCACAATTACCCTTTGGAATATGAAGAGTAACAAAAGATTAAAGCAAGAGAATGAAAGAAATCCTTCTACAAGTTTAAGTCAGACTCAGATGAGCGGGCATGGGGCTCACCATCTTAATACTTTGGAGTATTATACTGTTGACTGGAGGTTATAATTTCGCGATTCTCATTTCAAAATATTTGTTGATCGTTTACAGACATTTGTAAAAACTAGTAATAAGTTGAGTTGGTTTTGGGTGTGACTAGCCTGAGGGTATAATAAGCCAACTACGTAAATGTTTTACTTCTGTTTTTCTCTTATAATCTACAATGTTTTAAACGTGTTCCTTTCTGCCTGTCGTTAGGTACCGATGCAATTACGATCCCCGAAAGAGAATATGACTTTCAGGTAAGAACGAGATGCTTTTAAATGGGTTTATTGAGCCACTTGTAGAAAAGGCTATATCAGTCACCGGCGTAAATATTCATAAATGAATGAGACACGCCAATAAAGCTAAAACAACAACAGTGACCAATCGTGCGACTGTGTGATGTTAATATGATTCGCAGCCGATCGAGGCTTTCCTCTGACTGGAAAACTCACAGCTCATTCACAAAGATGTATACATATTGCTATTCATATGGCAATTCGGGCCTCAATTGAAAAAGAAGTCACTTTTTTTCTTCTTCAAAGTTCAAAGGCCTTCTTACTTTTAACTTCTTTTTAAAGCCACTTGTGGTCTAGTAATTAGCAGGTGTTATAATTGATTTATTGTTATTGCACATTCTTCCAGTCTAATGTATATATTTTTATGTGTGATATTATGTTTTCGTGACTTTTCAATGATGTATTCTGCCTACATTTTGATCATTTTCAGAATCAGATAATTCATTAATTTTGGTTAGAATAACCTGAACGCGATTGCAGAGATTTTCAAATTACCAACCTAAAGCAAATTCAACATCTTGACCCATCACCAATAGAAACATCCAAAAATTATAATGACACATAGGCCTATGGCGTTGTCCGAATAGGGTATTAATATATTGAGCTTGAGTTGATTTTCAATCGTCTTTCTAATGCAGAATGATAATACTAGGGCAGACAGCTAGGTAAAGGACGGAGCAGTTATTAGAAAATAGAAAAACAGGAATACGGTGAATTTTATTCTAGGACTGGTTGGCCTTTTTTGTTGTTTTCGTATCATTTTCTTCACGCGCTAGGCAAAGAGTTCTTGGTATTGAAACATGTAGCTGATAGCCTAACTCATCTATTTGAATAAATATCCTTTCTTGAACAGGAGAAGGAGATGGACTTTGACTTTGAGTATGACGACAAAGTCGACTTAAACACAGCTGGAATGATGTAAGTGAAGCTGCAGCAACCACTGAATCGTCTTCAACAGATCCAACAATCCCGATACAATTGGATGAAAATGATAAGGACACACAAGACAAAGATGGGGCGAAGGAAGAAAGTAAAAGGAAAGATCAGGAAGAAGAAAGTTTGCTCTCTAAGCCAAAACCACCCGCCGTCCCACCTAAGCCCACTGATCATGCTAATAATGGGTCTGCAGCCGATCCGATGCTCCCAGATGTCGACTACGAGGCAGAGACCAAAAACAGAGATCAGGTGGAGGATGAAGAAAAGAAAAATGAAGAAAACGCTACCAGGAACACCCGACTCTGGCATGGAAACTGATGAAGCCTTTAAAGATTCCGACGTTCCACCACCACCACCTGTGCCTATAATCCAAGAATCGCCTCTGGAAGATCAGGTCGAAGACCACCCGCTCCCTCCACCCCCACCGCCACTCCTATAGTCCCACCTATTGATTATGCTGATGGGAAGACCGTGACCTTTGGCGGGGAGACCGTTGTCGGAGAAGGCGCGGGAGATGGGGGAAGTATCTGCACAGATCAAGACACACCTAGCGAAGCAAGCTCTCGGAGTGGAACTGCAGAGGATAGGTCAACCAATCGTCCACCAACAAGGAGAGGTCCATCCCTATCCTCTGAAATTGATCTGATCGCTGCCTCACTTGACCGTTCTAGTCCTGGGAACCAGAACGTTGGGTTGGTTGCATCTCCTCAATCCGTCTGTGAATCGGAGGGCGAGAGTATTGGTTACCTTGACGACGAGTCATTGATTAGTGTCAGTGAAATCGGGGTTACAAGTCTCTAGTTACAGATCGAGGCATTCAAGACCAGTTAAATGATTCTGACCAGTTTGACATATGCTCCGGCGATAACTACCCCATGGTCAACCTTCTATTACTAACTGAATTCCTAACTTCAATCATAGACCCAACTTTATACCCAGCCCAAACACCATCCTTACTCCTAAAATTGACCTAAGACACGTTCTTCACCCCAATCTCCACTCGAGTTGGCTCAGTCAGTAAAGTGTCTGCCTGTCAAACCAAAGATTGTGGGTTCAAATTCAATTCAGGCAGACGACTGAAGTCTACATTAAGTGTTACACGCCCCTCCCGTTTCATAGATACAGGCTTTGTAAAGTGAAAACAGTCCATCCCTTGGATAAGATTGAGGCCCCTTGTAGAGGAGAGTTGCAACGTTTGTGAGTTAAGAACTCTCTGCACTATTCATATACGATTCGGGGCAAACCCTGGTGTAATGTTGCATCTGTACATCCCTAATCAGTTTAGTGGGGAGGAGAGACCCAATGGTTACAGTGTTTCAGTTTGCTTTTCGCCTCTCAGTAATAGTTAAAATAATAACAATGGTGTTAACCACAGTCTCAGCTCTGAAAAATATAGCTCAGAGCAAATATTCCACAGAATCTTCAAAATTCAAAACAAAAACATGAAGAAAAAAAAACATAACTACATTGATTATCTGCCAAATGTTTTCAACACATAACACATATTTCCGTTTAAGGAATGATACACTGTAGACTTAATATATTTGCAAATCAGGTTTTTCTCTGATTTTACGGATCATAAAATATGCACCTTTACTGGCACTCAAGCTCATACATACATGTCCAAAAAATATATTCTTTCATTGGTTTTGCCAAACATAAAAAGTATAATTAGAGAGCATATTCTAATGTGAACATTCAGAAGTAGTGAAGTGTTAAAATATTAAATGTATACTATTCTATGTGAAGCTAAAGAAAGAAAAACATTTCAACTATTTCCTTACTTGTTAACAACATACCAAAACAATGTTGGTACACTGTATATGTATCTCAAAGAAATACAAATGTAAAATTCCTGTCTCAAAACATGTTGAGACTTTATAAGAATATAAGATGTGTATGTACCATTGATATGAAAATATACAAAGGCGATCAATGAGACACATTTTGTAACTCATGAATTCTAATTTTAATTTGTAAGTATTTTCACTTTACAATAAAACTTTTTTCTCTTCTCATTTATTGTTTATGATATACATGTAACTACTGTTTTTCCATGTATGAATACATGCTTTTTTTTCTATTTCGAAATTAGAAAGATAGTCCACCTCCTCCCCCAGAAAAAAGGGAAAAAAGAAGAAAGACAAATTATTATAATATTTACAAATAAAAGTCTTGTAACGCTGCTTGTCCATTTTTCAATATGCCGTAGTGTAACAACTGCATTATACATGCAAGTACATTATATAGCATTTTTCTTGATTTCTGATTTTTCTTTTTAATCAAGAGTAATATATCGGCAATAGTAAATTTAAGAAATCTTTCCAAATCTGTAATACAAATAAGGCATGCAATTGACTTCATCATACATGTATGATCTATCCGGACTGGAAGTGAGTCTGTATACATTTATTGTACCCAGCCTGAAGACTTTGTGCGATAAGGTGCCTAAACAGACTCAACAAGAACAGATACATCTCGTAATGAACAAATGAAAACTTGCATCATCTGTTTTTAACAATGAAACTCCTAGTTCCTTGTTATTTGATTTATAAAGAATTCATTTCAAGATATAAACCCAAAGTTTAACAGACTTGCTTTAGCATGCGTACAAAGAAAAGAGCACTTGCCTCTACATGCATCGATACGCAGAATCACACATGACCGTGTTTGACCATTTATTTGATTAGGATCTAGGAGTGAGTTGTATAATATCAATTGTTATTGTTTTGTTTACTCAGACAACTATCATTATTGCGCTACTTAGTTCATCTACACTCGCATCAAATACTAATTTTGATCCATTTTAGTTACGGGCTTAAACAGCCCATCCATCGCACACCTTAAAACCTGGTAAATCACATAATTTTGAGAGGAAAATGGGATTTACGGTTAGATATATATTTCAAGAATTATACTTCTTTCTGATTGCCATCCCTAATATAATATATATCATTATCATGCAGAGATGGTTTTTTAAATTGCTTTTTATAGTAAATTCTTAAAAAAGAATGGGAGGTTATCTACCAAGCATTAAATAATTACAGAGGTTTTCCCGAATGCTATATTAAAAGCTTTTTCATCTATTTCTGTTTTTGATTTGTTTTGTTTTGGTTTGCTTTGCTTCGTTTTGTTTTGTGTTTCTCTTGTTCTTTATTGTAGTAAAGATTAAAACGATTATTAGTTCATCAAGATCGTTATCAAAGCTGGGTCTAAACTAGCTTCAAACATGGGTCTTTTCAATGAATTCATGAATAGAGCTCAAAATGTTCCACCACCACCCCCACACACACCACACACACACACACACCCACACACACACAAAATACAGAACAATTCACACTTTCTCTTTAAAAAAATCTGAACAACCCTTTTGAAATACTAATCAAGAGATAATAATTTCCTTTACTTATTCATAGATTTATTCATTGCTTCTATACAGATACGAATGTTATTCTTTTTTGGACATTTTCAATTTTGCTTTCAATAGTCCCTGTGAGCTTCTTTGTAACCTTATAATCACCATTGATTTTATCGGATCACTTGGGTCCTTTCGCCCAACACTTCCATCCTAAATAGCTACATGAAAAAAACGACATCATGGTGTTCAAAGTTTTTGAACAAAACTTCCTTGAATTTCCATTTAAAGACCAATATATATTACACAGAGAACGAAGAACATGTTGTGTCAGGTTGGACCCTTGAAAAGCTCTCCAAGCTCGATGTGTTAATTTAGCTGCAAAATAATTTATAAAAGAAGAAGTAGTATACATTTCAAGCAAAAATTTTAAAGCAGGGAATTACACTCCATGTGTATGCATTAATTTACGAGAAATGTATATAACATGATATAACAACATAATTTTGCAGGTCCCATTCTTTTCATTTTCTTTTGTTGTCGTCCGTGAAAATCTCAGTGGTCCTAAGGAGGTTCCACTGTATAACGACTTCTCAGAGAGTCTGGCCTGAGTGACTTACAACAAATATGATACAGCATACACTATTCTCTCTGGGTCTACATCAGTTTTGTTGATTGCTTGTCTCTTGTTGCTGGAGTCCCATTAAAGTGACTTAAATACACTGCCATCATTAACACCAGCATCATGTGACCACTGAACACCATGCTGTATATAGTATTCCCTCTAGATCAACACCAGTTCATAAACATACGGGGTGGTATTCTCCAAAGCGTACTAACTTTAGTCTATGGTTTAATCCATCGACTAAGTATGGAATGCCAAGTGTCCATATGAATATATTCTTGAATAATTTGATATGTCCCTAAATTACCATGATAACATAATTATATCATAGTTATATCAATGTTTATGAATTATGTTATTACATTTTATTTTTATTTAGTGATAGATTAAATATTTAAAAAACATATTCATATGGACACTTGGCATTCCATACTTAGTCCGTGGATTAAACCATGGACTAAAGTTAGTCCGCTTTCGAGAATACCACCCAATGTGTTTATACACTCATTGCATCTGGTTGTCCGAGATGGACATCAGTTTTGTTGATTGTTTGTCTCTTGTTGCTGAAGTCTCATTAAAGTGACTTAAAGGTAAAGACCAGTATTGGAAACGCCCCAATTTCAAAAAATGAAATGGAAGCTCTCATTACCAATCATGTGAAAGAATATGTTTTTACTAATACATGATGATAAAAAATTTGCCGGGAAACCGCTTACTAATTCATATATTTGGTAAATTTGTTTCTCTCATGGTCTGTGAGAGATATAAGGTAGTCCCATATACATCTTTCTGTGTATAGTGCTTGTAAATTTACGAAGAATGGGTCAAATTTCTTATCATTTTGATGATTCCAGAACCTTGCAGATGCTAGATGCTAGATGATCAACCTTTTCTGATCGATTCCACAACGTTTCTTTCACAATGCAATCGCATGACCATAACTGGTCTTTACCTTTAACACTGCCACCATTAACACCATGCTGTATACAGTATTCCCTCCAGATCTACACCAGTTCATAAACATACGGTGTTCATACACTCATTGCATCTGGTTGTCCGAGATGGACGCTGCCCACTCGGGCACTGCTCCGACTATCTTCTCGATGATGTTGTTGACTTGGAAACATAAGCTCTGGATCTGTTTATCCCACTGTGGAAGGATGTCCGTTGCTGAATGGAAAAAACAGAAAGGAGAGGATTGATAGATAAAAAATAAGATCAAATGACCAATAAGTAGAACTCTTTTGGCAAAACGTCAGTCTACTTTTGAAATAAAACTTGAGACTTGAAAACTTGAACTCTCCACTCGAGTGTAAATGGGTTGTCGACAGCCCCGTAACACAGAATATCTGCTTGATGCATTGAGAACCAAGATGCTGAAAAGGAACACAATTCCGAATATCCTTGGCACTTTTCCTAGGTGACTGCTTTATAAAACCCTCTTTACTCGGCATTCATCCTCAATTTGCTTGTATGTTTGTTTATCATCGCGGCTTTTACTATTCAGTGGATATCAATTGGTAATTTGAATATTCTCTTTGTGATTACCAAAACTTGTGGATATTTTTAAAAGGGAAGTCCACCCTGATATTAAGTTGGTTTTAATAAAAGCAGCAAAAAAGAGAGAAACAAATTAGTGAAAGTTTGAGCAATATCCTACCGAAAATAGGAAAGTTATGAATTTTCAAGGTTTTCATCATTGAAACACAAATTGGCTACACTGTGACATATCTTGCAAGTAATTCTAACAGAATTATGGCACCATATATAAATACTGTAATTCATCATTATCAAACTAACACCATGCACTCTTTCTTCTTGTGTGTTTTTTGGAGGTGATATAGAATGAAAAACAGATTTTCTACTTACATTCGAAGTGAACAATGCTGTCAATCTGGTCTATGTATCCATTCATTCGTCCCTCTGATATCATCTGCGAAGCAATCTTTTCAGCCTTTAAGAACAAAAGGAAACACAGAAGCACGTGAATAAGCCAGTTCATATTTGCAGTCTGAGCATGAGCAGTTAAAGGTCATTGCAGACCAAATTGTGAAATACATGGAGACAAAATACTGGATACGTGCTCTTGAAAGTTAATGTAATAATTATTCATTTATGCACAAGCAGTGTATTCCATGAGACACAGGTGGAAGTATTCTTTGTAAAGGGAAACAAAGGCTAATTATGTAGCACCTCCATCGCTGTAGGAGTGATTATTTCAAAATGTACAAAGTGGGACCTCTTCATGTTTTGTGGATATTCAGGGTCATTTGGGACATGTGCTATACCGTGAACAGGTCTATTCTCCCAGCAGGCTATGAAAAGTACGGTGGAGTACCACACATCTGCGTGCCCACAGGACCGAGAGATTTGAACGGCTCCCAATGACATTAAATCCCTTTACAGCAGGGTTGACAATTATTTTTTTTCTGAAGGAGGGATGCTTTTATCAAAGAAGAACCAGTCTAAAACCAAGATGCTTTCCTACGGTCCAACTCATTAGAAATTTCTAAGAAATATTTTAACCAACCAGATGGTTTAAAGTGTTGGTCCAAATGACCCTCCCCCTCCCCCCCCCCCCCCCCCCACCCCCCTCCTCCAAAAAAACAACAACAAACAAACTGCAGTTCCTTTTGGGCAATTCCACGGTAACGGAAGGACACTCAGACAAGATTTTTGAACTTCAGGTTCATACTAAAAGAAATGTTTTATTAGTATGTATTAAACTATGGGGAACAAAATGTGTTTCAGTCAAGTGGAAAGCTTCATCAACTTCACAAAGTTTGGATAAACACTAATTAACTGGAAAAACCATGTCCATTTTTATGTCCTTCCGTTACCGAGATAATTAATATGCACATTCTTAAACTACTTAACTATAATGACAATTTTTTTTGGGAGAATTAAAGGCACTTATATAGGTATTATAACTGTACTGTTTCACATCTTATACTAATAAAACAGTTCTTTTAGTATGAACCTGAAGTTCAAAAATCTTGTCTGAGTGTCCTTCCGTTACCGTGGAATTGCCCTTTTGTCACCTTGTACATGACTGTATATTGATATGGAATTACTCACTGCTAAGTGCTTTCTCCTTACCACCCATTCTGTATTTTTCTTGGAAAAAATCTGCAAACCTTTATTATTTTCAATTTATTATTTTTTAAATGCAGTGCATAATTAAGGGAAATTGATACACTAGTAGTATTGTGTTGAAACTGCCAGGAATTAATTTCTTGAAATACTAGAGCACCATAATGGCAGTCATGCTAAGGCCTGGGTAATAAATAAAAGGTTTCACTAGCCATTGACTTTGTGTTTCCTGGAAAGCCCACATTTTTCTGAAAACATTTTTATATTAAACACTCATTTTGTGTCGCTGAACCCTCGAAATGCATGCAAATTACCTTGGGTGGAGGAATCTCCAAGAGAGCTCCAAGTTCTTCAAAGGTTATGTTGTTATATAGCTTACTGGCTGAGAGCAAGTTGTGTTCTATGACTGCACGGTCAAGTATACTTGAACCTGAGGGGGTAGTAGGAAATGAATCGGTGAAAGATAAAAATTAATCAACACTGATACATAATTAAGAAAACTGTTATTATTGTTAAAGTGACTCTGTAACATTGCCTCAGATTCTGAAACAAAATCCTGGATTTAACTGCTGCAATCACAATTATAATCCTTAGGTCATTCAGGAATCTCTTTACTTTTACAAGCTGATCGCCTGTCTGATTATCAAGTTTTTTATGATTGGAAATCAAAATTCCATTTTTCGTTTTCCTAACAGTTTTTATTACACTACAGTCTATTGGGGAAAATGAGTATGGTAAACCCAGTCACTCAAGATTTTTTACTTTTTTTTTTAAAATTAAAAAAAAAAATTATTATCATTATCATATCGTCATCATCATCATCATCATTAGTTAGTAGTAGTAGTATTACAATTATTATTACTATAATTATTTATTCAGGAAAGAAAAAATTAAAAATTAAGAAAACAGTAAAACCTCTGAATTATTACAATTGTTTGAAATTGAAATTCAATTTTTGATTTGGACTTCATTTATGAGTGGATGCTACAACAATTGCATGCCCCCTCCCACCCCCCACCCAAAAAAAAAAAAAAAAAAAACGGATGGGGATTTCCCAAAGCAGAAAACTGTTCTTACCATTAAAAGCAGTGAAATCTCTGAATAATTACAATTGTTTGAAATTCAAATAGTATTTCTAACATGGACTACATTGATGAATGGATGCTACAACACTTGCATGCCCCCTCCCCCCCCCCCCCAAAAAAAAAAAAAAAAAAAAAAATTAGGATGGGGGATTTCCCATTTAGCAGAAAAGTGTTCTTACCATCAGCAGTGGTGGCCTTTTGGTGTTCTTGGAGCCTGGAGGCAAACTCCTGGAGCTGATCGCCCCTGATGATGCGGTCCAGGTACATCTTCTCCAGGATGCCATAGGATGGTAGCTGCTGGCATCGCTCATCCTTGAAGAGAGTGGCCAACATCCTTGACCTCTGTTGACCTGCAAAAGAAAATGGTTTTAATTGAGGGCAGTGTCAATGACTGTGTGACATTTACAGTGCTGGTCAAAAGTTTCAATACACTCTGGATTTACAGATGAGTTTTTATTTCAATGAAAATGAGCTTGTCTGGGCACTGAAAAATGAGCTTCGGGTTCGGTTTCACATTATATGAATACACTATAGTATGTCTTGATACTTCCGAGTGTTATTTTTTTTAAACTGTGCAAAGTTGGATACTTACAAGTGATGGAATACAGCAGAGATATTAACATTTTTTTTTTAATTTTTTTTTTTAGAGAAAACCAAAGTGATGATGAGGATGATGGTGATGACAGTGATGGTGGTGATGATGGTGATGGTGATGATGATGATGATTGAGATGATGGGGATGTCACCAATGATAAGGACAATACTTATTATGATGCTTTGTGTTATGATGACGATAACAGCAAAAGAAATAATGGAAACCATGTTCTTCATGCTGATGATATCGATATACAGGATAACAATGAAGTATATGGATGACAATATATGATTGATGATATTATTGATGACATATTAATATAATGATGACATAAGAAATGATGAAAACAATAATTATATTCATGTTAATGATATCAATAATAAGGAAAACAATGAATTATATGGATGAAAACATTAATGATCGTGATGTAGACAATAACAATAAAAATTGTTTGTACTCACCTGCTGATGCTAGGATAGTACAGTGCAATGCATGTCTGAGAGATTCCATTCGCTCCTCATCTGCTATGATAGTACGATAGGACAGCTCATTGTATCGCTGTGCTGCCTCGATGAACTTCCGTTTGTAATCCAGCATCCTCGCATAACATACCTGAAGCATAGGTTTAGAAGAGAATTAGTGCATATTTCTTAACAAAGAAGTAGGTCCTGGAAAAGACTGGATGAGAAAATATCATCTTTAGTTATTTGTGATTATTTCTGTAGAAGAGATTTGCCAGCCTGGATGATTTCTATCTCACATGGATGTAAAATAAATCAATTACTTTGAACAAAATTGATATTCAGAACCTACTCTGCATGTGAATCTGAAATCTTCATCTCAGTTGTCACTTATTCTACTTAGTGTTTATAAATTAAATACATAAAAGGGAAAGTTCACCCTGATATTCAGTTGATTTTAACAGAAGCAGAAAAGTGAGCTTTCATCCCATTTGCTCTGTACTAAAAAGTCCAAAAAAATTATTTGCTCTCAAGAAAATTTTTCAATCATACATGCACCCTAAATTTTAACATTACAAATATGTTTCCATAAAACCCCTGCATGGAGGAAAATCTATTCCGTCATTAAAATAACAAAGAAAATAAAAGTTTGTAGAATTGTATGTACAGAGCAAATGGGAGGGGAGCTCACAAGATCACCATAGAGTTGCCAATCTGTGTTTGATTGCTTGAACTTCAAAACTTCATAACTTTCTAACTTTTAATGGCAATTTGCTTAAACTTTCACTGACCTAATCCTCTCATTTTCCAGCTCCTCTTAAAACTAAATAAATATCAGGGTGGATTTCCTGTTGAATGCAAGTCCTCTTAAAGTGACTCGGTAGCATTGCCTCAGATTCTGAAACAAAATCCTGGATTTAGCTCATGCCGCAATCATAATTATAAACCTTTAGGGCAGTCAGGAATCACGTGACTTCTACAAGCTGATTGCCTGTCTGATTATCAAGATACTTAGGTTTCGAAATCAAAATTTCATTTTTCGTTTTTCCTAACAGTTTTTATAACACTACAGTCTTTTGGGGAAAATGAGTACCGGTATGGTAAAAGCGTTCACTCAAAGATTTTTTACTTTTTTGAGGAACATCATGATCATTTTGAAGCTCAATTTTTTTAGGGCTTCAATATTACACCATAATTACAGACACTTATAACACGTAGGGCCATGCATCTCAGATTTAAAATTGTTAAACGATGCCTTTAATATTTGAGTGTGAATGCATACAGAAACAGTCGTGCGTTTAACCCACCTTATAATGTATGTGAAGTTGTTCGCTTTTGGATTCCGCCTGGAGCATAGAGGCCCTCTTGATGTAGACCTCCGCCTCGACAGGGTCATCGTCCTCTAGATACAGTCTGGCTATCTTCAGGTACGTCTCAAGCTTGTAATCAACCTGGTACTGCCTGTTTCATTGCAATAATAATAATAATAATAATAATAATACATTTATGGAGCGAAAAAAATATCCAACATTAAGTATACATTCTACTGTGCTACAAGAGCTCCTGATATGCTTAGATTTACAGTTAATTGAAAAGGTGTGCTTTCAGTTTCGATTCCTGACTTCAAATGGTATTAGTTATACCATAGTTCTGGGGCTGAACAAGCAAATGCTTGATCATCTAGCATTAATCAAATCAACAACAAAAAAACAATGTGATTAAAAATGTGTTAAAGTCTGACCAGGGGCCGGTTCAGGATTCGGAACAGGTGGGAGATGGGGGTGGGAGCACAAATCAAAAGAATTACAAATGTAAGTAAGTTGGCCTAAGCAAAAGCATAGTTTTAAAAAAGAGGATACAAAAATTGCGACTCAAAGTGAAAAACTTGTTAAGCTCTTTCGTTTTATCCCAAACGAGTTACAGTAGAACCCATATTTCTGTAGTCAAATCTTTTTGACTAGTGAACATTATGCATGGAATTACCTATGTACAAATACCAAGGGAAGGAAATACTCCCAACACTTCAGGCATCTACATGACTTTAACCTTTGGCCCAAATTTACAAAGGAGGTTTAAATTTAACCCATGGTTTAAATCTTCATTTACAAAACGCATGGTCTAAAATTAGCGCAAAATATGCGTGGCACAGTCAGAGGTCCAATATTAGACGCGCACAAAGCAAGGTACGCTTAATTTGCGCTAATTTTAAGACCATGGGTTATGTAAACAAGGGTTTAAACCATGGGTTAGGTTAAACCTCCTTGTGAATTTGGGCCATTGAGTCCGAAATACACACACTTCCCATTTTTTATATCATAGGGAATTTTTTGTTATAAATAAGAGCATACTTTTGTCCTGTTTCAAGAGGAATTCCAACAAGAATTCTGGCTGCTTCCCTCCAGTTCTGCTCTTTTTCATAGATGGATGAAAGATGCTGCCTTACACTACCCATCTGAAAAATTAAAAAGAAATAATGAATTGATATATATATATTTTTTAAATGATAAATAATAAACAAGAAAAGAAAAATTAATAACATACAAATATTATAGGCAAAGTTCTTATTGTAAAAAAGCTTTGTTGAAAAATCAGTACATATGGTTAAGGGAAGCAATTAACATAAGAATGTTAGCAATGGTTTGGATAGCCTTAGATATTTCTCTGTTAGTCAAGTTAAGTGCTTTAATAAACCATTCGGCTATGACCCTGAAACGACCTTACTTAAATGGGGGCAGCATCACGGTCTCAAAACTGGCATCGTTGATAACAAGATGGAAATTAGAATGCTACCTGTTCTTCGAAGGAGACTGCTCTGGGATGGACCTTCTCCAGGAGGAAGTGAGAGACCCTTTGTGAGACTGGATCAGGGAGCTGAGGGAGCTGGTTACACACCTCCAAGAGGAGCTGCCTGGAGATGACCAGACTCACACTCTCCTTCACCACTTTGGCAAAAAACAAAATGAAAAAAAATAGAAAGTAAAACAAGTGTTACAAAGAGTGCTGTATTTTACCTTATTTTGTACTCTTGATGGATTTATACTGTAATTCTGTCACGATTGTATTCGGTTTTGTATATTTTATTGGAATTTAATAAACTGAATTGAATTGAATTGTATCATTCTGATCATTCTGATTACTTTGAAGACTGGTAAACCTCTCACAAAAAAATTTGCATCTAACAAAATGTTTTATGCAGCAGAACTGAATTTGGCTTTTAATTAGGATGATGGCCTGGCCTGGTTCGATAGACAAACCTTGTACTGTAAAAATCAAACCTCAAGAATTAAACAAAAAGAGCAAGACCAAAATCAACAACATCAATAACATCAAATACAATTTATTTACATTTCTAGTTACACAGATAAGCATGGTCGGTTCAAATTGACTTTTCACACTGGCCCCGTAGGCTGTTATTAAAAAAAAGGCAACAGATGAATCGCAAATTCTTTTTCATAAATACAGCTGGACGTATAAAATAAAAGCGTTCAAACAATCGTAATAACAACATATTATTTTTACATGTAAGTGGAAGTTTATTTTCCTCACTATCACTTAATTTGAATACACTATGAATAATAAATATGAATAAAATGCATACTTGTTTCAATGAAAAACTGCAATCCATTCACGAGATCATCTTCACCGAGCTGTAGGATATCATTGAGGATTTTCCGGTACCTGTATATGATAAAAAGATTGTACCAATACACCATGTATATCCAAAAATTATCAGAACTTCAGAAAAGTGCTGAAAAAAAGAGAAAGAGAGAGAGAGAGAGTGAGAGAGAGAGAGAGAGAGAGAGAGAGAGAAAGAGAGAGAGAGTGAGAGAGAGAGAGAGAGAGAGAGAGAGTGAGAGAGAGAGGGGGGGGGGTATTAATCTGAGCAAGCCCCCGGTATTTGGTTGCTAAGTGTCCCCATACATTGTATGTTCAAGTGTGATGGCATGAATGTATAACGAACATAGTCAACATCAAATGCAAGAATTGTCTTGACATTTGGCATGATCCAAGCTGGTAGCAATGGCATTCAACTTTTAAATACAATCACCAGTTGTGCTGGTATTTTTATCCTGGATACATTACAAAGTACCAAATGAAATCCTGGACTTGCCAAAAAATGTTTTAAAAAAGAAGAAGAAGAACAACAACAACAACAACAACAACAACAACAACAACAAGAACAAGAAGAAGAACAACAACAACAAGAAGAAGAAGAACAAGAAGAAGAAGAACAAGAAGAAGAAGAACAAGAAGAAGAAGAACAAGAAGAACAAGAACAAGAAGAAGAAGAACAAGAAGAAGAAGAACAACAAGAAGAAGAAGAAGAATGAGAAGAATAAGAAGAATGAGAAAAGGATGAGAAGAAACAAAGAAACTTCGGTGAAAAAGAAGGAGGGAGAGAAAAAGAAGGAGGGAGAGAAAAAGAAGGAGGGAGAGAAAAAGAAGGAGGGAGAGAAAAAGAAGGAGGGAGAGAAAAAGAAGGAAGGAGAGAAGAAGAAGAAGAAGGAGAAGAGGATAAGGAGAATGAGAAGAGGATAAGAAGAATGAGAAAAGGATGAGAAGAAACAAAGAAACTTAGGTGAAAAAGGAGGGAGAGAAAAAGAAGGAGGGAGAGAAAAGAGGGAGAGAAAAGAAGGAGGGAGAGAAAAGGAGGGAGAGAAGAAGAAGAAGAATGAGAAGAGGATGAGAAGAAACAAAGAAACTTAGGTGAAAAGAAGGAGGGAGAGACAAAGAAGGAGGGAGAGGAAAAGGAGAAGACCTAGGAGAAGAAAAAGAAGAAGAAATAAAGAATAAAACTTAGAAGAAGAAGAAATAAAAAATAAAACTTAGAAGAAGGAGAAGAATAAAGGAAAGAAGAAGAAGAAGAAGTAGAAGAAGAAGAATACCAACTGCATGACAGTCATATCTTTGAACGCGACCTATTGTTGAGAAGTCATGACAAGCCATGTGGTCACGAGGGGCTCGGTCGCTCGTCTTAATGGTTAAGTTTTTTAAAGACTTGAGTGTGAGGGAATAAACAAGCATATTACGAAAATGCATTTTCACCACGATCCCCTGCAGTTAGAATAATGGGGATTGGGTGTTATCAAACATAAATACTTCCGTATCCGAGTCTCTTTTGCCTTCGGATTAAAAATAATGTACAACACTGTATGCATCAAACATCAACCATCAATATATTTGTGCTTTATTTTGTAGACTCTAGGCTATATAAGTCTCAGAAAATTTATGAAATATTTCTTCAAATTGCTGTTTTAAATCAACACTCCGTATGCACAACCTGAGCTGAGATCTGTCCGGACACACAATCGCGCACACACACAGCACTCTCTCTCTCTCTAAGTGCCATATCGATTGATTTTGGCGATCATGCTGTTCCACAACCCTCGGTTCCTATCCTAGCCTTCTGTATTAGTACCACTCCCAGTTCTTTCACTCCTCTCTCTTCCAACAATTTCTGCAGACTGTCCATCCAAAGTATCCTCCTTCTTCCCACAATTTTCCCTGTCAAAGCAAGATTTTCTAGACCTTCTTTACGTGTATAAATGTGACCCATGAACTTCAACTGCCTAATCAACATCTCGCATATCATTTTCCTTTGCGTTCCAGCTCGTGTAAGAACTTCCTCATTACTAACTCTGTCAGTCCAGGGGGTATGTATGTATGTATTAGGTTTTTACAGACGTGTATCAATCAGATATGATTATTTACGTCTGGGACCGACCTTTAAACGTCACCATCCGAAAGACGTGACTCAGTTTCGAACCTGCGTCCTCGGCTGAATCAGTTTGTAACTTCCACTTTTTTCATCATTCTTCTTAAGAACCACATTTCACACACAGCACACCCGCCCCATTTTGCAACAAAAAAAGGCGACAATTAATATAGTGCACGGGACTATCACAAGAAAAAACATTCATATCAATGCAAGGAAATGTTTCATGATTCGAATACACCAACGATAATTTATACAATTATATTACTAAGAAATTATACACTGAACATTAAAGACTATTTAAAAAGTTGTATAAAGCTATTTACTTCTCTGTTAGATCTTTTGGAGCTCCTCCAGCGTTCAAGAGAGTGGACAATTGTTGTTTCATGGAAGCTGCCATATTGAACGAGACTGATAAATGATGACAATTCAATGTTATTGAAATGAATAGTCCTTATTTTTGTAGTATTTTTAGCAAAATTAAAATAATTTTGATAAATCTATATTAAATGTATTTTTTTAATTTGTGTATGAAAATATTTCATCTTGACTTTTGCTTTAATTTATATATTATGAGAGGCTGTGTTACTTTTTTGTACATCCCAAAATATCACAATAGGCCGAATGGGGACACGACCGATGCTCGGCGCGTGATTTTGAACAAATGGATGTCACCGATGTCTTCAATTAATGCAGGATTTTCTCACTATACGTAAGATATTTTGTATCACCAACTGGTCTGTATGCATTATATGAAAATGCTTTTAAATGATTGTGAAGTATTATAGCGATTAGATCATTATGAAGTATGAAATTTGTGGTTTTATTATGGTGCTGTGATGTAAAATGCTGCATCAGTGCGCCACGTAAAAGGAAATAGAACTTGAGTCGAGAGATGTACGAAGCTGTGATAAGAGTTGCGCCTGGCCTAACGGGGCGGCGTTATTGTGTTGGTGTGTATAATAATTTGATTGGCGCTGCGCTGGGCGTCTCATGTAATTGTAATGAACAATGGTGTTAAAAATATTATTAAAGATAAAAATCTGACTAAAAAACATGTAATTACTCCACAAACAGACTTCCCTTTTTTATTATATTATCAGTAGGGATGCTGGTCCGAGAATGAGGATCATCCGCATCATAAAGTAACGAGGATATCCTCGTAAATTAAATGCGGACAAATCGCGTCCTGAAAAATTGGGATTGTCCGCATTTTTGTGGATGTTTTTTTTTTCTTAGGCACTCTGCGGGTGTAGGGTTCCCGATCCATATCCCCACGCTGGCAAAAAGGAAAATCAGATTCCGCATAATGAAAAAAAACACAGTTCACCGTCTACTTTTTATTGTCCGTCTTCCTGAGAATTTAACATTCATAACGTGTAAGTCTCTGTGCAAAGTGCATGTGAAATGCATTAGGAGCATCATCGCGGAATCTGTTTTTCGTATCGCCAACACGCGGATCAGAAATAAGAATCGTCCGCGATCCTTATTTTTTTAGGACGCGTCTGTCTGCGTTTACAAAGACGTTCCTTTTTTCTCGGACCAGCACCCCTTCTGATTATAGTAGGGTGTCCGCGATATTGCCATTGACTAGACCCTATAACGTGTATTCACTTCCGGGTTTTATGGCGCGAACAGCTATCCATACTTTCATTCACTATACGCGCAGATGTTACGCGATGTAACCATGGTTTGGACTGAGCGGAGCTCACGCCTCCCTAATTTGCTGATTCCAAAAATGTGGGAAGGGTATTTTTAAACTGTTGGGGCGAGTGATCTCTTGGGGCTAGCGAAAAAATAAGTGCATACATATTTTCCTTACGTCTAGCCGGACATAAGCCCGGGGGGCGCAGCTCAGGAAAGTGGCAAATTTTGGAGCTAGGATGCAAACAACATTTAAATCGCTGTTTTGACCAAGATATTTTTAGAATTTCTGGGGTGCGCCCCCTTGGGGAATATGGAGAAAAACCTGCTCTTTCATATGACACCTCATTTATTGAGTTTCACCTTCAGGATCACAAGCCCCAAAGGTTTGAATTTCAATTTTTTTCATAAAATCATTGACCAATTTTCATGGTCGCGCAATGCACGTAGACTGCATAGGGATGTGTGCAATCTCTATGGGAAGTATTTTAGCACACAACATCGAGTGCGCGATCAGACACCCTAATTATAGACCATACCTTCAATTAAGTATTTTCATTTTTAATGATTAAAGCAGATCTATGTAATGTCTAAAACTCTAAATCTTTCGATAATGTTACAGCACTTGAAGGTAGAACTAGTCAATCCAGACTCTAAATAAAAAATTTACTATTAAATATTATTGATTACTAGACAGAAGTTAACGCTGGTATGGGGAATTCTCTGTCAACCTTCCCCATACATGAAAGGCGGTAACATTTGGTACACACACAGCGCGTGACAAGAGACTCTTCACGCTCCAGGAATCCGGTGAAAGTTTGTCCTCAGATTTTCATTATCTAGACTGAACAGTTTCAGTTTGATTTAGAAGAAATGATGATTGGAAAGGAAAAATAGATCCAATTTTCAAATACTCTAACAATAACATTAAAAATCATTCATAATAAAGCAATAAGATATACCTTGAATACCTTGAATACCAAAGCTTCTGGAAGAAAGCCGTCTCCAGCTGCCAAGCTTCCAGGTCTAACTTCAAGGGGGGGGGGATGTCCCAGCTTCCGGGTCTTGCACCATAGTCATTTTACATCTGTATCTTGCCTGCTGGGTCATATCAGGATTGTCATAACTGGAGTGTCAACTGGGAGAAGGGTGAATGATATTGCTCCTTCTTCTAGTGTTTGTCAAGTCTGGCTTTAAAGCTGTTTACCGAGGTTGCAGATACTACCAACTCAGGGAGGGAGTTCCAGTCGTTGAGGACCCTGTGGCTAAATGAGTCTTGCCTGAGTTTGGTGTTGCACCTGGGTTTGGTCAGTTTGAAAGCATAAGGACTTTGACTTTGACTTTGACTATTTAAACAAAAAACTGTAATCGCATGTGATCCCTTGGCAGGCACATAACCCCCCAAAAAAAATCCAAGATCGGTTGAACTTTTTTAGACCCCTCTCCAGGACGTCAATCAATTACATATATGTGCCCCCCCCCCCTCAAACATCAAACTCTGCCCGTCAAGGGGCTAGCAAATATTCCCTACATCTGGAACAACTTATGCCTCTGGGGCTCAATTCAAGAAAGTGGGAAATCTCAGAGCTATGATGGAAGCAATGTTTAAATCATCGTTTTGATCAAGATGTTTTTAAGATCCGAGTTGAGCATTTTGGGGCAAATTGCAAAAAACCTGCTCTTTCATATGACACCTCATTTGTTGAGCATCGCCTTCAGGGTCACGAGTAATAAAGGTATGAATCTCAATTTGGTAATAAAAATATTGACCAATTTTGGTTAAGGTATTTAATTTAACTAGAGTCGTTATGTAGTTTTTTTCAGTTTCATTAAGTCCTTACATTCATGTACTTGTAGATTGTTGCCTCTTTTTCCCCTCGATTCTCATTTTAGTAAAGCATGTCCTTTAATTCATATTTTAGAGAGTAAACTCAACATGTATCAATATTCGTCTTTTTTCAGATTCTCCAGAAATGGCCACCCAAAAATATGACAGATTCTTTAGAAATGTTACACAAACTTGATGCAAGGAACTGATGACGTTGCAAAGCGCTAGGCCTTCCAACTCATGCGCTCTGCAAAAGAGCCAAAGATCTGTCAATTTATTGTACTCTATTGAAGAATCTATCAGGCATTATGGCTGCGAAGGGTGACAAGACTGGAGGTGAGACCAACGGTAGCAGTGAATCCTCAGGAAACATTTTGATCAAACCAGATGGTGGGGATGGCAACCAGCAGGCACCAGGAACAGTACGTATCGTGAGCGGAACGGCAGGTAGGGGTGGGAATGTCCCGATGCAAATCCTAACCCCTCAAATGTTAGCTAGCCTCTCACAACAAGGACTCATCATACAGAATGATGGCGAAAACAAGGGAATCCTGCAAGCCGTCAAACGGGCGCGGCCGTCGTCTTCGTCAGAGCAAACTGTAACAAAAGTAGTGATCACGCGTAACCCCGGCAACAAAGTTTCCTCAGGGAATGTGTCCGGGGCAAACACTTCTTTCAAATTTCAAGGTGACCCTAAGGTGATAGGGAGTGGATCACCTATCAAAGTCATCACCGTGTCACAAGGAAGCAACATTCCAAAAGGGGTGGTCATAGCAAGTTCACCCAGTAAACAGACTATCGCTCCATCGAATAGGATAGCATTACCCACTGTCAAAAGCCCTGGAAAGACAATCATGCTTGCAAGTCCAACAACGCCTAAAAAGATTGCCCCTGCATCAACGTCTGGCACAGTGGGACAGACCATTTTAGTGAAGGGGTCCATGGGTACGACATCAGGGACAATCACGTTAAGTTCTGGAGCTGTAGCCAAGGTTATCAACGTCATGAACACCTCTGTTCCATCATCGGTGAGTATACTTCATCTTTCTTTCTTCTTTTCCTTTTTCATTCTTGTGAAGACAAATTTGCATATTGATCATGGGTTAGTAATGTAATACTTTCTCTTTTTATTTATTAATTAATTAATTGATTGATTATCTGTTTTAAAGTTATGCTACAGGTATAAGTAATTTTTGAACTTTTCGAAGACTCTGAGGCCCGTTTCAAGAAACCAACCAAAAGTCCTAACTTTGTCTGCCAACTACAGAAATGTCTCTTATTGTCCTAAACCATTTCATAAAGAGCTTACTTGATGAATGAACATCTGACTATGGCTTGCCTGCCATGCCAGATTATCATTCTCTTCGCTGATTTCACTGTTTCTTAGCAAACTTTTGTAGAAACCTTTTATCAAGATCAAGGAGGGGGCAGGGGGAAAATACACAAGTCTGCAGGCAAATTTGCTCCGGAAATGCCAAAAAAGAGCCCCCGAAATGGGCCAAATAAGCAATTACTGGGGCAACTTCAGAAAAGGAAATGATCCAAAATCGCCCCAGAAACAATTGCCACAGGACTACATGTAGTCCTGTGGTTGCTTTCTCCTAGCGCCGCCGCTGCTATGGTGGCTGGCCGGCGTGCAGAGCAGAGATCGAGTGCGCGCTAGCAACACTCTTACAAGGTCTCAAAGTTGGGCTTCGTTGTAAAAACTTTACTTTGAAAAACAATTTTCAAAATTTAGTATACATGACCAGAGTGTTTGTATATGTTAAAGTAGACACACGAAGAATCAAAAGTGTTTTGAATTGATGCAAAACTCATATCATTGCGAAGGGGAAGCCTTACTGATCAAATACAACAACTCTCCTCTTCAAAATATGTTTAGGGCCCGCAGTAATCAACTCAAAAATGTTAGTGTAGAGATCCAGATTTTCTGCCTTCAGCGGTCCTTCGGTCCTGTTATTTGTTCTAATTATCAGTTGTAGTGAATTTTTCTTTGTGTAGCTCCTTTAAGAATCACTAGAGGATGCTGGACAGTTGAAATGAAAAAAAGTAGCCCCAGAAAATTTCCAAAAATTAGATATGGAGCCCCTGAAATACAAACGTTAATTTTTTTCACTGGAAAGGGGGTTTAATTAAAGTAGTCTTAAAATTAAAACATTAGTGAATAAAGCATATTCAAGAATAACACTTTCAATTTCAATATCTTAATTGTAGAAGTTGAATTCCAATCTTTAAACTAAAGGCTGTGGTAATGCACAAATATGGAAGCATCGATGATCATTAAATGATAGAAAGTACACATACAGGTGTATGTAGAATTGATAGATAAAATCTGCCCACTGCCCAATCTGTAATTGAAAATCTGTGAATTTGCCATTACAGCAGGTATCTGGAGTTGCTCCTGGAACACCCGTTCCTGTTCAGATCAGTGCCGCGGGTCAAGCACCACCTCAGCTAGCCTCAGGACTGACCACCATCAGACCAGCAGGCAACCTGCCCGGTCAAGGGAACCTCCAAGCGGTCAGCATGGCAGGCAAGAACTTCCCCTATATGCGGCTTGTGAACGTATCGACAAACGCCACCACTTCTGCAACGCAAGGTACAGTACATGTAGGAATACTTTGGTGGGATTGGCCGAGACAGGGTGACAAAAGGGGGATTCAATTTCATTGGACAGGACATTACATGTATTAAAGACACTGTAGCCTGTTGTGTGATCATTTAATGATTCCAGACAGACATGAGCCATTTCATAGCGTTTGATTGGTTTGATTTCAGAGATGTTTGTTTTGTGTGGGATAAATGTCCTTTGGCAAGACATTGATCTACACTTGCCACTCTCCACCCAGGTGTTAAATGGGTACCGGTAGGAAGGAATTCCTTGAAATGCTGTGAGCGTCGAAATCGGCAGCCTAGCATAGCCGGGTAATGTTGGAGGGCCTTGAAGACCTTGCAAGGTCGATACGTGCGCTATATAAAAGTCCAATATTGAATGCAACTATTAAGTTGGATATATTGGTCTACAATTCTCTGAATCGCCTACATGTACAGGTACATTTAATAAACTTCAACAATGCATGTACAATGATGATTATTTGTAGAACGGGATGTTCTTCTCTACCACAAGCTCTCTGGATTACATGAGTATTTTTGTACATGTATATTGTGTTTTTTTTTGTTGTTGATACTAAAAAGGCAGTTCTACATGGACATGATCTTTGCTAATCCTTTGATCTTTTATACAGACTATTATTATAATAACTTACACTTAATAACTTAATAACTTCCTCTGCAGCTAAGCCTGTCCTTCAGCTGGCCAATGCTAAGCCCATTGCTCCGGCCCCAGCTCTGGGTCAAGCTATCCCTTCTCTGACCTCCGCTGGCCAAGCGGGAGGGGCAGCCCCAAGGACCATTAACATACCCATAGCACCAGCCCAGGTAAGCCCATTGGTCTATGTAACTACTGTAATTGTAAACGCTGTTATTTCTGCGTTGTTAAATTTGCGTTGCATGTAATTCAGCCGGTTTAAAACACGCATAAGAAGTCATACATTTTCACGAGTTCTAAATTTTTGTGCTTGCCGATCTTAGCGCGAAATCCGCGAAAATTAAAGTTTCCGCGTTAACAGTATCTTGCCACTACTGAAAATGCGGACAAACTTGACGGCCCGAATTCTCAAAAGAGGTTTGTCGACAAACCTTGGTTTTCGTACGTCAAATGACGCGTTTTACGCGTTTTTTACAAACCTGGTTTGTAAAGAACAAAAGGAGGTTTGGCGAAACAAAAGGAGGTTTGAGCTCAAACCTTGGTCTGAGCTCAAACCTTGCTTTGTGAATTCGGGCCTCTATGTCTTATGAGAAATACAAGTTACAATGCGTATACAAAATAGTTTATTTTAAAGGTGAAGTTCAAAGAAAATCACAAATATGTCAACTAATGTGTCACTAGAAACTGGTAAGCTAACAGCTGGCCATCGTACAAGTTTTAGTTCAACTACATATCAGGTGATTTATACAAATACAAATACAACCACCTCCATAGCAGCTGGGATATACTAGACATTGGCCGGAAAAATAACGATGTTTTAATGACATCACTATATGGACCAATACTGCCCAAGCAGACGACATCCAATGAAGAATGAACATAATTGCAAAGCTATTATTTGTCAAATAATAGTGAGTTTAGTGTATATAAATGTAATGGCATGTCAAAGCATTCAAAAGGGGATATGACCCGATTCTGATAACTAAAATCTTTTGCTTGTAAATACACAGAATAGGGGTTAATTAACAATCACAAAAACCAGACTTTCAAATTGAAAAACCCTCGGAAAGATATTAAGGACGGCTTTTGTTCACTCTTTGAAATGCCGAACATACCGCGGTGTGTACAGCTGAATATACAATGGCGTCTTATTTTGTTTACAAGCGACAGATTCTTTATTTTTGTATCGCTGCATTTGTCATCAAAATAAAAACATGCGCAGGGTTTAGAGTGAGGCAATAGATTATACATTTAGCCTGACGGTAGTGAAGTAAGAGAAAGAACTCAAGAGAAGATGAAAACACAGGCACTGAAAATGTGTGAGATGTCATGGGACATCGTCTGCTTTTGCAAATCATGTCCATACTGTGATCTCACACATCTCAGCAGCATTCGGAGAGCTCTTCAGGTGCTATGCCGGGGCTGTATTTAAGCGTTTTGTAATTTATAATAATCATTACTTTGAATGTTTCCAAGCATTGAATTTTGATAACCTTGTCAAATCAAAGTTTCAACTTTGCAATAATAAAAATAAAGTTAGTTTTTAAAATCAATGAATATCTACTTTAAAAAGAATGTGTTGCTTGTCACATGGATTTGAAAGAATCAATTGAGTTTACAAAGTTCTAAAGAAAAAGAAAACATCCTATAAGTATCAAAATGATCATTTTATAATGAGGGGAAAATTATTTTGTATTTTCAGTTTGAAAAAGAATTATATTACCAAGGTAGTGGAAGATATGTGTATTCTAAAGTAAAACATGTTGATTGCAAGAAAGAAAGTCCGTTTTCAGTGATAAACAAAGTGTTATTGGGTGAATAGGAAAACGATGTCAAATTCCTGTAAGAATTCATAATTACTGTATGTGCCTTTAATTGACAACTAGCTCAGTAAGGTTTGTTGATAACGGCCTAGAGGTTTTATTTCTTGTTTATTACGAGTATAAATAGTAGGGAAGCAATGCCAAGTTTTGCAGATGAAGTCAAAGGGGAGAAAATTCTTAAATCTGAAGTCCGTTGGGCAATGTCAAAGATGAAGAAGAACAAAGCAGCTGGACCAGATGGTATGGTCACTGAAATGTTTGAAGCATTAGAGGAATATGGTGTTGAAATTATCAACAAAATATATGATGATGGAACGTTTCCAGATGAATTGGGCAGATCCATTTTCATTACTCTCCCAAAGAAACCGGGAGCCGTGGATTGTGAGCAATATAGGACAATCAGCCTTATTTGCCATATCACTAAGATTATTTGGAGGATTCTGCTTTTGAGAGCAAGAAGAAGCATAACTCCCATGGTCGGAAGGGAACAATTTGGTTTTGTAAAGGATGCGGGCACAAGAAATGCAATATTTGTGGTTAGAAATATAACGGAGAGAGCAGTCGAAATGCAAAAGGATGTGTACATGTGTTTTATTGATTATTCAAAGGCTTTTGATAAAGTAAGACATTCAGAACTTTTTGAAGAGCTGAAAAAGCTTGATATATATAGGAAAGATCTAAGACTGCTACAAAGTCTATATTGGAATCAGTTTGCATGCATCAGGGTAGAAGGAGAGTGTAGTGAATATATCAACATCAGACGGGGAGTCAGACAGGGTTGTGTTATGTCGCCAGACCTGTTCAATATGTATAGTGAAATCATTCTAAGAGAATTTGAAGATGAAAATGGGATACAAGTGGGTGGTCATTCAATCACAAATATTAGATATGCTGATGACACTGTTTTATTTTCTGAATCAGAGAAAGATCTCCAAAGACTCCTAAATGTAGTTGTAAAAGAAAGTGAGAGAATGGGACTAGGGATCAACTATACCAAGACAAAGTGCCTGGTGGTATCCAAGAAGAGCAGTCCAAAATGCAACTTGAAACTGAAAGAACAGACTGTTAAACAAGTCTCCTCATTTAACTACCTCGGCAGCATGATTACCGAGGATGCCAGGTGCGATACAGAGATCAAGAGAAGGATAGCTCTCGCTAAATCTGCATTTTCAAAGTTAGGCAAAATTCTGACAAATCGAACAATGTGTATGAGGACCAGAATAATAATAATAATAATAGTTTGTTCTTTTATAGTGCATTTCAGGACCGAAGGCCCACTCAAAGCGCTTTACAATGTACAATGTACGTTTACATAATAATTACATAATAATTACTCAAAGCATTCATCAAAGAGGTGAGTTTTCAGCGCTCTTTTAAAAAGTTCAACATCAGTCATGGAGCGTAGCGACACTGGGAGAGCATTCCAAAGTTTTGGTCCACCACATGCAAATGCCCTGTCACCATATGTTTTTGTGGCTCCATGATTGAGGGTATTGAATTGTTACATCTACCCAGTACTTATGTATGGTAGTGAAACATGGACTTTAGCCTCTGATACTAAAAAGCGTTTTGAAAGTTGCGAAATGTGGTTTCTAAGAAGAATGATGAAAATCCCCTGGACTGACAAAGTTAGTAATGAGGAAGTTCTTACACGAGCTGGAGTGCAAAGGAAAATGATATGTGAGATGTTGATTAGGCAGTTGAAGTTCATGGGTCACATTACACGTAAAGAAAGCCTAGAGAACCTTGCTTTGACAGGGAAAATTGTGGGAAGAAGGAGTAGGGGAAGAAGGAGGATACTTTGGATGGACAGTCTGCAGAATTTGTTGGAAGAGAGAGGAGTGAAAGAACTGGGAGTGGTACTAATACAGAAGGCTAGGAGCCGAGGGTTGTGGAACAGCATGATCGCCAAAGTCAAACGATATGGCACTTAAAGAGAGAGAGAGATAATTCCATATCATATTGGTATCTTCTCTTGTATATAAAGGTACATGTACATTTAGTAGGTTGTACCTAATGCAAATGTAATATTGTTCTTCTCTCACTCTGCCTAACTGTTCCCATTCTAGACTATCAACAAAGGCATTGTCCAAGGAGGGGTTGGTAACCAACCACGATTCATCATGCCTGCCAATGCGGCCCTGAAGATCATTAATGCTGGAAAACTAGCACCAGGCACCACTCTGTTGTCAGCGGGTGGTAACCTCCTTCAGAGCTATGCTGTGATACCTGCTCACTATCTTACACAGGTAAGTGCTTGGACGTCTGCAATTAAAGGCTCTGTTTTGACTTTTAAAGGGGAAGTCCACCCTGAAATTAAGTTAGTTTTAATAGGAGTAGAAAAATGAGAGAAACAAGTCAGTGAAAGTTTGAGCAAATTCCGATTAAAAATAAGGAAGTTAGGATTTTTGAAGTTGTGATCAATCAAACACAAATTGGCAACTCTATGACGTATCATGCGAGCTCAACTTTCATTTGCTCAGTACTAAAAAAATCTAAAATTTTCATTTTCCCTCAAGAAAAATTTCAACCATACATGCACCCTAAATATAATAATTGCAAATATGTTTCTATACTCCCCCTGCAAGGAACAAATATATATTCCGTCATCAATAATGAAAAAAAACATGATTTTATGGAATATTATGCACAAAGCAAATGAAGGAGAGCTTGTATAATAAGTCACAGAGTTGCCAATTTGTATTTGATTGATCACAACTTCAATAATTCATAACTTTCTTATTTTCATTCAGAATTTGCTCAAACTTTCACTCACCTGATTTTCTTATTATTCTGCCTCTATCGAAACAAACTTATTTTGGGGGTGGACTTTCCCTTTAAAGGGAGTGTAGCATGACGAGACTACGTGTCTTTGCCGTGGCCTGACTCGGGGGGCCAATTGGGTATAATACGACTACGGACGACGCAACCACAGTATTCAAGTGCGTGCAACATACGCTAAACCCAAAACGTGAGGTGAACTTCGGTCTGTTTAAACAAGTCCATTCGTTTACGTGCAGTTGTCCAAAAGAAGTCGTAAATGGCGTTCACCAGTTTTTGCCATGCTTCACCCCCTTTAAAGGACTTCAAATTGAATAGTACTCCTTGGGGGAAGTCCATCGTGTTATCACAGAGGTTTTAGTCATTGTGAAAAATGAGCAGATGAAAAAATGATCAGAGAGGTTCGAGAACACTGCAATGAAGAATAAACATAATTTGGATCCACCAGGTTGTTTCAGCTGGTATTCAGCCAAGCTTAACAATCCAACCAGTCCAATTCTTCTTCATCTTCCTCCTGCTTTTTTCCAAGTTAGCGAAGTTTCCTTAGCTTTATGTTTTCACTGCCAGTTACCAACTTTTAATACCAGAGTCGACTTTATTACTATTTCATCATTCAATTTTCCATAATGTTCTCTTTCATCCGGTAGCCGTTCAAGCTCAACCATCCAACCAGTTGGGGTCCTCCTCCTTTTCCTCCTCCTCCTCCTCCTCCTTTTCCTCCCACTCTTCCTTCTCTCTCTCTCTATCTCTCTCCCTGTCTCTCTCTCTCTTTCTTTCTCTTGCTATCTTGGGAAAAGGGAGCAAATTACCCGCAGACCTGTTGTTTCTCTAACTGCCGGCAACCCATTTTAAATACCAGTCGACTTTATTCATATTTCATAATTCAATTTTCCATGATTTTCTCTTTAATACAGCCGGTGACCAGTCAAGCTCAGCCATCCATCCAGTCGAGTTCTTCCTCCTCCACCTCCTCCTCCCAAGCCAACAGTACCAGCAGTCAGCCCCCGCAGCCCCAGCCAGCTCCCATCAAACACTCAAACACCGCTAACAGTAGCAGTAATGGGTCAGTTCCATTGAACACAGACTTAGTTTAAAGCCATACTGTCCTATTGCTGATTTGATGAGATAACCACCTGTCCAGTGACCTGGCAGGGTGGTCTAATCCCTCCTATAAACTAGTACAGATAAGCTTTAAAGCCATTAAAATTGTGAGGGTTTAATTTGGGCAAATGTTGTGAATAGTCGGATCACAATACCCCAAAATGAGCTAGCGCGGCAGGTGCGAATAAGTATTGTAAGTACACTCAAACCTGTCTATAGCAACTGCCTGAGGGAAACAGAAAACGTGTTTTGTAGACAGGTGGTCTTTGTAGACATGTTCCTGTAGTACATGTTTCAATGACAGGTAGTCACTAAAGCCGGTTTGACTGTAGCTTGTGTTTAGAAAGCTAGAACTCACTAACTCGCTCGATTATTTGTGTGCCTGCCAATGCCATTTGCCTGTATGTGAAATAGCTCATACGGCGCGTTCCCTCCTTTAGAGCCAATCTCAAAGAGTTACTGTTGATCTGAGTCGGTCCCAACTCAACTTTTTATATAGCAACCGCAGCTTATGACAAATACGATAAGTAATCAATTAGATGATTGGCAACTCTTCATAAGCCAGGGCCCTGGAGCATCTTGTATAAAATTAGGTACCAAACACATGATACAGTCAAACCTGTCTATAGCGACCGCCCAAGCGCCAAGGGAAACCCAAAAAGTGGTCTTTGTAGACAGGTTCCTTTAGTACATGTTTCAATGAGAAACTATTTTCAAGGGAAACACAAAATGTGGTCTTTGTAGACAGGTGGTCACTAAAGTAGGTTTGACTGTACAATGTATCTAAACAGCTGATCACCTTTAAGGGTGGTTCACTTTATAGAGACTAACTCCATGGTTGAGGCAGAAGAACAAAATAGATTATGGCTCTGTTACAGGACAAGAAATCCCTAAGATACTTACATGTAGGTGCAGCATTGTGAAGTATAGTGACCATGACAAAGACATTCATTTATAGCAGATAAAATAATACAGCAAGGAAGATAGATAATGCTTTTAGTATGTTAACCCATTGCCTGCAGAAACCAGGTTGTCCCTGTATTAAAGGCATTGTTCAACAATGTTTACAGTTTTACAAATCTGAGATGCATGGCCCTACGTGTTATCAGTGTCTGTGATATGGTGTAATATTGAAGCTCTAACAAAATTTCGCTTCAATATGATCATGAAATGCCCCCCCCCCCCCCCCCCCAAAAAAAAAAAAAAAAATCAAAAATCTTTAAATGACCGGTTTTACCATACTCTTTTTCCCCAATAGACTGTAATGTTATAAAAACCGTTGGGGGGAAAACGTTTTTTGAAATTTTGAATTCTAATCATAAATATCTTGATAATCAGACAGGCGATAGGCTTGTAAAGGTCATGACATTCCTGACTGACCTTAAAGGTAATACAAAGTTTTGGGAAATTTTGAAAATTGGCTGGATAAAGATTCTTTACAATTTTGAAATATTTGGATGCCCATGTGGATGTATTATAAGCACTAACAAAGTTAGCCCCTAAAACATTTCTGCTTCTGAGAGAAATTGAATATCAAAATTTACCGGTGCTCTTGGTAAATTTATATAACTTTCAAATAGCACCTACGGCCATAAAATGGTAGCTGCGACCATGAAAATCTCAGAATATGTTGTATAATCTCCAAACAGGAATAGCTAATCGGTCGATTATAGTCAAGAAACATTGTTTTATAGATTAATCAATATCTTGACCTTGAGAGGGAGCTATACAACATAAAGAGTTTATTATTGACAATTTCATAACTTAAGACTCGATTGCAACCGTGACAACGATCACTGAATAATGCAGGATCGCATATGCTTCCAATATGTTCATTTGAACCGAATTCATGACCCAGTACCAAAACTTTGTATTACCTTTAAGGTTTATAATTATAATTGCAGCACGAGCTAAATCAAGTATTTTTTTTAGAATCTGAGGCAAAGATACCCAATCCCTTTAAGCTTATTGAGATTATACAATTCAGTAGTCAGTGGATTAATTCATGTTTTTTTTCTTCATGTTGTAGGATGTTAACTGGAGATGGGAGTGGGAGCAGGCCACGTAAGCCGTGCAACTGCACCAAGTCTCAGTGCCTCAAGCTGTAAGTATTCCAGCTGGACGATCAAATCAGATGCTAACAACTATCCATAAGTAGCTCAAACTGTGAATAGCCCCCAAACATGACACCAGCTAGAAGTAAGCAATAAAGCTACTTCTACGTCGATACTTGACAGGATCCATAAGTCAGTAATTAATGCCAAGGTTACTGGGGTGTGCAGGTCCACCCCGCTACACCAGGGTTTCCCCCTTCTCTTATACGAATAGTGCAGTGGGTTCTTAATGTGCAAAGGTGGTGACTCTCTTGTACACAGGGCCTCCATTTAACGTCCTATTGGAGGGATGGGTGTTTTTCACTTAACATAGCCTGCGTCTATGAAACAAGGGGAAGGGCACGTTAACACACAACGCAGGCTTCAGTTTGCACATACACATGTATTACAAAACAAAAGTTAATTAGACTTTGTTGTCCTCATCTTAGGATTGTGCAACACAAGTTTAGGACATATTATGGAGAGCCATTTGTAGCCTTAAAATTATATATATTCAAAAGCAAAATTCAAGTATTTTTGACTTTTTATAAATTCCACATCAAGAACATGAAATCTCCTTGATAATAAAAAATATGAATGATTTGCCTCAACATTTTATGCCTTTTAAAATAACTTTTACAAAATATTTTCATAGATGCTAACGTCTTTCCATAATTGTTAAGTCAAACTTAGAGATAAGTTTAATTTAAGATCTTTGTGAAACACCCCCCAGAGGTAGCAAAATAAAATGTAGTGATGATGATGAAGGCTTCTTGTGTAGTGTCAGTGGCCACCTCTACCTGGGGTGCTTATGGGGCTTTCCCTAGAATGCACATTCTCTGTCTTGTACATTTTTTCCACCCTAACTTGCAAGTCATCCACAGTAAAATGGTTCCTATGTTACTGCAGCAGGTTTTTGAAGCAGTTTACTGTACTCTGTGGCCAAGAGGCTTGAGAGGTGCTTTCAAATTCCTTCAATGAGTGATTTCAAGTTGGGTGTTTAGGGCTGGTGTCAAGTGTTTAATAAACACTAACACAAGTCCTAAACACCAAAATGGACACCAAACGTACAAATGTCCTATTCACTAACAGTAGCCCCTAGTGATTAAGCAAATGTTGATTTCCAGTTCGGTGTTAGTGTTAAGCAAATCTTTAGCTTGATTTAAGAGCTCTCGACTGCTCTTGACACTAACACCCAACTTGAAATCACTTGATGTGACCCTTCTGCTCCTGTAGGTATTGTGACTGCTTTGCAAACGGCGAGTTCTGCCGCAACTGCAATTGCAACAACTGCCTCAACAACCTGGACCATGAGGACGAACGGACCAAGGCGGTCAAGGCCTGCCTTGACCGGAACCCTCATGCCTTCCATCCCAAGATAGGCAAAGGCCACGGCAGCCAGACCAACAGGCGGCACAACAAGGGCTGCAACTGCAAGCGATCAGGTTGCCTCAAGAACTACTGCGAATGCTACGAGGTATGGTTTTTTCAAGCACATATGTATGCTGCTTTTTGTCTACGAGCCTCTTGCATCCAATTATAGTATAGAATTTGTTTATAGGGCATTTGCTGTATGATTAGGACCATTGGGAGAAAGGGGACGGGTTCGGACTTTTCTTAATTCTAATCTAAGATAGGGGTCAGGTCAACTTTTTGCAGGGGTCCCGATTGCATTTTTTTCGGGGGGGGGGGGGGGCAGGAAAGGAGGGGGGGGGGAGGTTATAAGATTGAGCTCCTTGTTCAAATTTGAAATTAAGAGGTTCTGGAGAAAGAATTTACAGGCCCATGTTTCCAACCACCTGTTACTGTTGAATCCTGGCTATGGCGACGTACACATTTTAATTTGGAAATCAGTTTGTGCAATTTGATACAGTCAAACCTGTCTATAGCGATCACCTAAAGGGAAAAAAATGGTCTTTGTAGACAGGTTCCTTTAGGACATGTTTCAATGAGAAACCATTTTCAAGGGAAACAAAACATGTGGTATTTGTAGACAGGTAGTCTTTGTAGACAGGTGTTAATGAAAGTAGGTTTGACCGTATAATTTTTTAATCTAATTAAAGGCTTTAGAATGTATCGTTTGACAGTGTGTAGCCCCAGAGAGTTGTTAACCATTTAGTTTTTGTCCCTTGTTAAAATTTGCAGGTGATGGGGATTCCTGATTGAGAATTTTGAGGCCCATGTATTCCAAACGTCTGTTCAATTTTGTAAACTTTATTCAGATTCATATTGTATGGTACATGTATATTAAAATACTGAACCTTACCTGGCAGCCATTAGCTTGAATAACATTCAGACAAGATATAAAACAACTTAACTTGCACATTAAAGTTGTAACAATTATAACACAAGGTGAACACATTAAAAAACAAAACCATACAGCAATGAAAGTAATTAAGTATTCTTAAAATAGGACCATTATGATCAAAGTGTTAAAGGGATTGGGTAACTTTGTCTCAGATTCTGAAACCAAATCCTGGATTTAGCTCATGCTGCAATGATAATTATAAACCTTTAGGTCAGTCAGAAACCCCATGACTTTTAAAATCCGATCGCCTGTCTGATTATCAAGATATTGATGACTAGAAATGACTGGAAAAATGAGTATGGTAGAACCGGTCACTCAAAGATTTTTACTTATTTGAGGCACTTCATGATCATATTGAAGTGCAATTTGTTTGGGGCTTCAATATTACACTATATCAAAGACACTGATAATACGTAGGGCCGTGCATCAAGCTATATAAAATATTTTGTCTTATTCTCAAACTTAAATGTACTCTGTACACTTATTTGATTACGAACATACTTGTCAGTATTTCGTTACTTGTATATTTCATTTGTTCTATTATATATTGTATCATTGTATGATTTTTATATGTCATTTAATTTGTGGATATTTGAGTGGAAAATAAATCAAATCAAATCAAATCAAATCTCAGATTTAACATTGTTAAACGATGCCTTTTATTGACCTTCATATTGTTGCCCCTCTTCTTCCACTCCCAGGCCAAGATCCTTTGCTCCAATTTCTGCAAGTGTGTCGGCTGCAAGAACTTTGAGGAGAGTCCGGAGCGCAAGACCCTGATGCACCTCGCCGATGCGGCGGAGGTCCGGGTCCAGCAGCAGACGGCCGCTAGGACCAAGCTCTCCTCGCAGCTCCAGGACTACCCAACCAAGACCAGAGAGTTCAGTGATACAGGAGAAAGGTGAGGGGTTTTACAAGATTGCTGGTTTTTGTTTTCATTAATTTATGTTGTGAAAGGGAGTGTAGCATGACAGGACTACGTGTCTTTCCGGGGCAATCGGGTATAATACGACTTCAGACGACGCGACCACAGTATTCATGTGCGTGCAACATACTTAAAACCGTGAGGAACACTTCAGTCTGTTTCGCGAACGCTAGCGCACGCTGACCGTTAATCAAGTCCATTCGTTTACATGCAGTTGTCCATAGGACAGTCATAGATGGCGTTAACCAGTATTTTCCATGCTACACCCCCTTTAAAATGTTGCAAATTAAGTCAATTGATAATACTGTTAAAGTAAAACCAAAAGTTCATGACACAAAACTTATGTGAATTGTAAACGACAGCCATTTTCACGGCAAGAAGCTTTGGCAAATTGTCAAAAGTTTGTGCTGTGTCAGCTGTGATTCTTTTATTTCGCAACATGAAACTGTCAACATTCTGTCAACAAAAGTGTTTGGTTTTACAGTAACTTAGCTGTGTCTCTTTCCTATCTGGCTTTATTTTGCCATACCAAACCATACCTTAGTGAATAATAATAATAATAACAATTTAAAAAACAGAAGTGAGAGTAATGAAGCTCTTGAAAGCTCAAAAAGGAGCTAAGCAGAAGAAAAAAGTAAGAAGTTTGACTATGTATATGTTTAAAGATATGTGTGATGGAAATGTCATGTGTATTGTAGAAAATTTAGGAAGAGCTTCTATGAGGTAGAGTAGAGGTGTGGTGGTCGAGTGGATATGTCACCAGACTGGATCACAAGGTCCGTGGTTCAAGTCCCACCACGGCACTAATGTCCTTTGGCAAGACATTGTACATTTGCCACTCTCCACCCAGGTGTTAAATGGTTACCCGGTAGAATGCGAAAGCTTATGTGCTTAGATTAGTAAGTGTGCGCTTGTAAAAAAGACACCTGGCTGGAATGCTCCTCAGGGAGTGGAGGTTGTGCATACATTGTGTGGGGGTAAGCCTGAATATGACGACCAGGGTAATAATATGTAATAATAATAATAACTTTTATTTACCCAGGGTAGCCACTTCAGTTATGAAACTGTTCTTCCAGCGGGCCCTGCATAACATAATATGTTATTACTACCCTTCTCCAATCTAATATGCTGAGCGCCTAGCTAGAAGGCAGAAGGTCCCATTGTTATAAGTCTTTGGTATGACTCGGCCGGGGTTCGAACCCACGACCTCCCGTTCATGAGGCGGGTGCTCTAAAAAACCACTGAGCCACCATGCCCATGTCTGTAAAGCGCTTTGAGAGGACCTATGGTCTTGAAAAGCGATATATAAGAACGAGCTATTATTATTATTATTATGAAAAGTAACTAATCATTTTTTATCTTTTTGCTCTAATCAGGTTACCATTCTCCTTCATCACCAAGGAGGTTGCCGAGGCAACGCTTCAATGTCTGATGGCCCAGGCTGATGAGAGCGAAAGAAGTAGCCATAGCTCCGACCTTGCAGAGTCCCTCATCCTGGAAGAGTTTGGACGTTGCATTCTTCAAGTGATCCATTCGGCCAGCAAAGCAAAAGGTATGATTGTAATACCGGTAATGATAATAACAACATTTATAATGCGCACATATCCACCCCAAGGGATGCTCGAGGGGCCTAAACAAGGTAAAATACATTAAACATATGAATGTACATGAGAAGTTACACAGAACGAAAATAATTAAACATAATTAAATATAATTAAACAACGTTATTTACATGTACATCAGATTGTGAAATAAACTATATCTTAACTAAAGAATTCAAAGATTAGATAGGTTTTCAAGTTTTTTTGGAACAAATTTTGATTGGCTGACATTTTGATTGAATAGGGAAGGGAGTTCAATAACCGGGGTGCAGCAGCTATAAAAGCTCTGTCTCCCCAACTCCTCTTTGTTTTTAATTCTTTTAACTCTGTTGAAATGGAGAAACGACGACCTGCATGAGAACTCAGAGAGATATTGAGAAGAGAGGAAATATATTCAGGGGTATACTTGTAGATCAGCTTGTTCCTCTACCGCTCCCAAACTTTGATACATGCTCCCTCCTCCTCAACCAAAATCATCACCAACAGTAGAACAATTCAAATTGACTTTGAAGATGTATCTATTCTGAAACCATATCTGCATTTATTGAACTCACACTGTCACTGCGTGGTAACTCTTAATGCTAACCAAGTGCTGCGTTGCCAGCGAACAAAGGCTCAATATAGATTGCAACTATTTTTATTGTTATTTTTATCACTATTATTATTATTGTTTTCATTATTGTTTTTGTTGTTGATGTTGTTATTGCTGCTGCTTCTACAGTCAAACCTTTCCAAGGGAAACACAAAAAGTGGTCTTTTTAGACAGGTTCCTGTAGTACATGTTTCAATGAGAAACCATTCTCAAGGGAAACAAAAAATATGGTCTTTTTAGACAGGTTCCTGTAGTACATGTTTCAATGAGAAACCATTCTCAAGGGAAACGAAAAATATGGTCTTTTTAGACAGGTTCCTGTAGTACATGTTTCAATGAGAAACCATTCTCAAGGGAAACACAAAAAGTGGTCTTTTTAGAAAGGTTCCTGTAGTACATGTTTCAATGAGAAACCATTCTCAAGGGAAACAAAAAATATGGTCTTTTTAGACAGGTTCCTGTAGTACATGTTTCAATGAGAAACCATTCTCAAGGGAAACAAAAAATATGGTCTTTGTAGACAGGTGGTCGTTAAAGCAAGTTTGACTGTACTATTCATATTAATATGGAAAGCCTCAGACCCTTTTGTTGCCGATTATAGTAGAAATATTGAAAAGGTCAAGATAATGATTTTCTTAATTGTTGTCGTTTTGTGTTTAGATGAGAGTGGAATACAGTATGATTGGAGGAGCTGTGCTTGTACTATGTCAAATCTTCAGATCTATTTATCCCCTCTTTTTTGTTGTTTTGAATTACAGGTGTGAATCCTGAATAATGTGCTCCAAGTGAAGATGGAGTATATAGCATCTAGGTACTCTGTCATCAACATACCCCACCAGCTGTCCTCAGTACAGATTGCATCATAGCAACCAGGCTTGTATCATAATAATCATCATAATCATCTATTTTTGATAGAGCTTGTATTTCTGTAGGACTTACATGTAGATGAAATTACTTTGGTATATGCTTGGCTCCTTTTTTAAGGTTCCCTCTCGAGACACCTTGGTTGAGAGTGGCAAGGGTAGAGAAATGCACCCCATGGAAGCTAACGCATCTGGCTAGGAACAAAGTTTTGTGATTATTTGTGCAACAAGAGAGCAAGTACCCCTATTGTACGCCCTAAAACTAGTGGTGAAAGAATTTTCAATGTAGCTGATCCACTTGAAGCATTAAGACTTTTGGTTTGAAGGTTTGTTGGTTCATTTTACCTGACAGCTAAGAAAGCATGTGTATGCTGGTAAGTTAGTGCCCAGGGGAATGATGGCTTTAAGTCCTCTCCGAGGGACTTTGTAATGAGGTGTAAGGCCTTACTAAAAGGCACAAGTGTATCCTCTTGGTTTCGGATCCTAGTCCCCCCAGGTACAAGCATAATGGTATACCACTGCTCCAGATTGCCAAATTGTATGTCCCACAAGTGAGGTGGGTGAACAAGGATTGGCCAACAACCATTTAAAGCCAGTCATGAAATTATTAAAGCGAAACCTGTCTATAAAGACCACCCAAGGGAGACAAGAAAAGTGGTCTTTATAGGTAGGTGGTCTCTATGTACAGGTTCCTTTAGTACATGTTTCAATGAGAAACCATTTTCATGGGAAACAAAAAATGTGGTCTTTGTAGACAGGTGGTCTTTCTATACAGTTGTCCACTAAATCAAGTTTGACTGTAGTATTAGTACAATCCCTTGATAATGATTTATATTTCATGTAGATAAAAGACACTGCCTTTCCTTCTCCCATCTTCTATTTTGATTATCGCGATGTTAACAAAACGTGTATACAGGATTTGATATTCTAAACGTGATGATATACCCACATGTTCATGTCTACATGAGTAGATGATTTATCTAACCCCTCTCAAATGTAGTTATCAATGGTCGGAAAGCACTCATCACATTATGTGTCGAGTCGTAAGGCCTGTCGTCATCAGCTCGAGTTTGCCAAATAACCCGCTATTTTCAGTCGAAATTGCGTCTTCACCAGACCGATACGCTCATCACAAACTAGCTTGGACAGGTGCAAATTAGCCTGCTATTTCCTAAATAGCGAGATATTTTGGAAACAAGACCAAAATTTCTCTGGATATTTTCTTGACCAAATATCCCGCTAATTGCATCTGCGGGCTGATGAAGGCGCAAATTAACTGGTTAATTTGGGATCGGGATAGTTAAAATGGCAGGTTATTTGGCAAACTCGAGCTAATGAGGACAGACCTATTGACACTTATGGCTTTTCAAGCTAGATGTAAGTATTATTGAGTGCATATTTATGCTATGCTGGAACTGTCATATGGTGCTATCACAGAAATCATCCAAATAAACTTGTACCAATCCTAAATTATTTACAATTGTTACATCCCAGCTCACCATGAAAAGCAAAACATTTTGTCTGTAAAGTAAGACATCCTTTACATGTAAACTATTTGGGTGACCATTCCATTTTTAAATCACTGATATTGACAGTCACAGGGTGATTTTTTTCTTCAATTGTAACCATCATAAAAGATATAACATCTAAAACGGTATGGAGATATTTTGACAAAGAGATGGCAAGATTTTTTGATGACAGAAAAAATGTAAATGAGACTTGGCTTGCAGTGGTACTCTGTTGATGTGTATTGTTTGGTCATAGAGAGAAGGTCATGCATTTTAAAGGGATTTTCTTGTTCAATTATAAATGCTTTCTTCCAAAGCAGGTAATAATATCCCTAATATTTGATATTTGTCCATACTATCAATAGTAGTGCTCACAGTTCATGTGGGCACTTTGCGCCCGGAGACACAGAGATAGACTTACGATCTTTGTGAAACACCCCCTGAAATGGTATGATGAATATTCAGAAGGGTAAAACAAACGAATGGTTGTGAAACTTTATTGACAACATTTTGAATAATGTTTGTAATATTTTTTATATATAATAATAATAATAATACGAACAATTTATATAGTGCTTGTGACATAAAAGTTTCAAAGCGCTGTACACAAATCAAGATTACTTCACGAAAAATTAATATTACTAATGGAATTAACATTACTTAAATATTATATTGAATGGGTTTGGTGTATAGTTTGGACTTTGACTTATCTTTAGGGTTTTATTCTCATTGTTTACCCACTTTTTGAAAATTCAAGTCAGATGCTTTTTAGATCCTTTCAGATTTATTTGTCTTTGTCAGAATACAAAATCATCAGCTGCAAATTTATATGTCTAACATATTTTGCAATTTTTTTTATTTAGCAAAGTCTTCACCTCATTTCGAACTTTGTGGTATTTACAGGTAAATTATTCCTCATACGTTTTTTTGGCACCAGATACCAAGTAAAACTGAGCAATAAAAAAATAAAACCTCCCTCTGTGATTCTAAGAATATATTATGGTGCACCTTGGCATGAAAATGGTGATTGATCAAACATTTTGCTCAAGTAAACTGACAATACATTGTGCATATTTGAAATCAAAGAGAGTATAACAGACATTCAGTTTGTTTTAAGAAAGTCTGTTCTAAGAAAGTCACTTTTAGCACTACTATCTTACTTTAGTTCTAAGGCCCGTATTCTGAAGTCGTGTCTAACTTAGTCATGACTAAAGTTAAACAACTGTTAAGTTGACACGACTTAAATGTGAGGCCGCATCTAAGTCCTGACTAACTAAATTTCGCATTCTGAAGTTGTGTCTAAGTCACATCTGAGTCGCGTCTAACTCACATTTAAGTCGCATCTTACTAAACGACTGTTTAGGTCCTGTCTAAGTCGCAGGTAGAGTGTACTGTACATGTTGAAAAGCTGCAAAATTGCGCTCTTAAACAGGACTTAAACAACCCCTCGCAGTCGTCTTAAGTTAAACAGGACTTATATAGATAGAACTTTGCATTAACTTGATTTAATCACGACTTCAGAATACAAAAAAGTTAGTCACGGCTTTGTGACTAAAGTCAGACAGGACTTAGACAACTGTTTAGTTAAACAGGAGTTAGACACGACTTCAGAATACCACCCTATGTGTTTGTGTATGCCATGCAGCGATTAGTTTATACATGGACCTTTGTAGGAGGGTCCATGGTTTATCTAATACTACAAGACCAGAAACTTGAATTCACAAAAACATTGCGAGTAGTTTAGATTTGCCACATTTTCATGCCACAAAATAGTTGAACCACCAGAGGATTTTTTCTTCAATTTGCAGAAGCATCCTTCTACAAAATACAGATGTAATTATTTGACATTTTGCAGAAGTTTCTGGTTTTCAGTAGCTTTGTCGAAATATTTGTATAGCTTTTGTTCATCATAGCAATATTGTACATTCTCTTTACTCACTTGAGTGTCATGTATTTAACTGTTAATATTGCAAATGCCTTTCCCTTTTACTAAATCTAAATCTCACTGTTTATTTTGAACAAACACTGTGTGTTTGGTGTCTCTGACATGTAATCCTGTGTACATAAATGTAGATTTAAAAGATGTAAATAGTTATGAGAATTTAACTTTATTCTGTGAATCGTCTGTGAATGTGTATCGTGTATCTGTATCGTGCTGGGGCAATTATTTTGCATTTCTATATCTTGTACGTGTATTGCATTTTGTAGAATTGATCAGGTCATAATGAGTTGTATTGTGTTTATATAGATTGCTCCTGTTTCATTGCTAGCTCATGTACTGTTTATAATTCTTGATTTTCTTTGAAATATTCAATTACTCCAAGTCATAAAATTATTTAAGGAAAATGATATTTTATCACCTGACGAAGTGGTGCAGTGGTGCACGAAGCGTCGTGATCTTTTAGATCCCTTGTTGACCATACATTGCGAGACAAACGAATATCACTAGCAATATTATTTTCAAAAATGATAGTTGTACCATGAATTATGCTGTGATTCTGGAACCTTTGATGAATGTCGATGTTCACTGTAGCTCTCTTATGTAATAAACAACAGCTGTTTTGTGTTTTATCCTTCTCATATACATCCTTACATCCGGTAAAGGACTGGGATTTTTTTAAGGGCTAAAATGAATCGCCTTAGTTTCATCTTCAAAGAGACAACCCCTGTGCAGTATACTTATCAAATGACACATACAATATATTGAATAAGGAAAGTATGATAGCTAGAACTGTCAGAAAGTTAAAGAATTTGGAAATTTGTACTGGAATGATCATGAACCCTACATTGTGTTGCCAATGTAAGAATTTGATAATCATTTTCCTATTTTAAAAACCTGATATTAAACACCCATCGCATATAGCTCCGTGTATTTTACACATGGGGTGATTATGTTTATCTCTCTCTTTGTCATAGAGGGGTGTGTAAAACATGTCCAAAACTATATTAAGAGCATACGGTAGGTGTTATATTTCCCTTTAAGATGTACATGTAAACCGATAGTAGAAACCTTTGGTTTAATGGGATACCTCTTAATCCTGACTAAAATAAGTAAAGAAGTCTACTGTGAATTCTCAATGAAACATTTATTAAGTTTTAATTCAAATTATTCAGATATATAGTGTATAGTAAATTACATGAGAAAATTAGTAACCCAATGATCTTCGATATATATAACTTGAAGATAAGTTTTTAGTGTACTGATGCTGCATACAAAATTATTGCGTAGACCTATGCTACATGTATTATTTAACCAATTATCAAAGCAAATTATTCTAGAGATATTATGGTATGTATTATTGGATAATGGGATAGAATTATATGCTCATTATTATCTAAGATATGAAGAGCGGTTACCTAATGTTTCTTACATGTGTTCATTAAGATTTATCATCAAACCATGATAAAAAGACCAATTCATAAATTATTACTGTGAAACATTAGTTAGAAATAAAATAAAATTGTGAATCGGGTCAACGTGAATGCAGATTTAGAGAGCACAACTTATCCATCCCCCCTCCCCTCCCCCTTTGAAACTCAAATCATCATACCTTTTTTTCCCCCAAAACAATCCCCCTATGTGTAATTGTATTGTGTTATTTTTCAGCATTGTGCCCCCTCCCCTCCCTGTTTTACTAAATCATGTGAGGGGGAAAGTATATTATGGGTTAATTGACCATCATTATCACACAGTTACCTTTGCTTGTTCTTGTGTTGTGTTAGCTGTTGTATGTGCTTATAATTTAAGCATACAGATTCTGGTCTAATCTCATGTTTGAACTTTGTAAATTACAATTTTTGATATATAATGGAGTAGTTTTTTTCTTGTGAGTGTATGTCATTATTATATTATAGAATGTATAGATTTTGGAATGTGTAATCATTGGAAATTACAGAGAGTTTTTAAAGTTATTACTGTCTAAAAAATTCAACTGTTTGCAGATGCTTTTTGAGCTGTATAATATACAGTGCATTGTCATATCACCCTTTCTACATCTGTAATATATGAGGGGCAGGTATATTAAACACATTTTCTGACTTGTAAACAATTTCAATTGTGTGCCTGTACTTTTTTATGACTTTGCTTGAATGTGTTGTTCGTTACTGTGGTATTTGATATATGTATGTTAAGAGGTGGTAAAAGTTGTCATGGTTTTTGGTCATACATTTTAGAGAATTATGAAAGAATGTTTCAGGCATATATACCATAATGTACATTAAAACAAAAAAACATGGTAAAACCTATAAACATGTTTTTTAAAGAGATGCAAGTATAAATCTCACAAGTGTTCTGCCAAGAGCAGGACCCTAGCTGTTTCATGAAGCTTATTATCAATAATAAATGCTAAGATTCTATAACAAAAAGGATTTCAGTATAGCTTAAAACAGTTATTGTATCTTGTTGAAAACCAGTGTTATGAAATGGGGCCCAGGTTCACACAGGGAGCCATTTAATATGTTTTTTCTCCATCCCTCTCTATATTTTGTAATAATAAAGAAATGTGCATTAGTTGAAAGAAAAGGGGCAAAGATCATATTTTAATAGGGGCATTTATCCGAGTTGAAAGGGGGCTTTTATGACTGATGCAAAGTGAATCTTATTAAAAAGAAAAAGAGCCACATGTTAAAATGAATGGGGCACTTATTAGAAATGAAAAGGGGTAATTATGAGAATGGAATTTCGGGGCACTTATATTAAAAGAAGGAAAAAGAGCATGTATTAGAAAGGGAAAGGGGCACATGTGAAAAAATAAGGTGCACTTATCAGATTTGAAAAGGGGTAATTATTAAAAGGGGAAGGGGGCACTTCTTACAAATGAAAAGGGGCACCTCTCAGATTTGAAAAGGGCGAGTATCAGTGGTGAAGGGGGCACTTATTGCAAAGGAAAATGGGAACTTGTCGAAGGAAAAGGGGCCTGTTAATGTTTTAAAAATAAAAATTAGCGCTTAGAGACTTTATATGCACAATTTATATTATTGTTATTATAAAAGGGGCACTTATCAGAGGTGAAAAGGGAAGGGGCGCTTTTACAAATTAATTATTACTTGTCAACGTAAAAAGGGGCAATTTTGGGGTGGGCCTACTTGAAAAAGTGGGGGGGGGGGGCAGTTCACAGAAAAGAAATAGATTTATAGCTACCTGATCGAACTTGACATAGTACGTCATGCATATAGGCCTTCTGTAGGCCGATATGAAAGATATCCGAAGTATATGGATAGAAGTGAGCATCAAAGAGAGAACACTTTGCATATGTTATCCCCTCCCACGCACACACACGCACACACACGCACACACACCACCATCACTACCATACCACCATCACTACCAGTACCACCACCAACAAATCCCAACTCCTTGGTAATAACAAACCAGCGACCCAGCGAGTCTCAATCTAGAATACCACGCTAAGGTCATTGCGATGTACCATTGTACAGCAAAATTGACATTCACAACATATGGCGCTAAGCTCCCACGTGGTCTGCAGAGCTTGCATTGCGGAAGTACCTGGTCGAGTACCCAAGCGCAGCAGGATTCTCGGGGTCGCGTCGGTAAGCGACGATCTGCCCAAGCCCATTTCATCAGCTCCGCCAAGCCGTTAGCCAAACTCCGAAGCTCGAAGCCAAAGTCTATTTTGAGGTGTGTTTACTCGATCTATATTTGCCATGGCAGCTAACGATAATGGCGAACCAGATACCAAGAAATCAAGGGTCACTGTTGGGTGAGAATAGTAACAATCTGAATTAGAAGTTAGAACTTTATGCCTGAAATCAAATATCTAGACTCTAAACAAAAAGTCAAGTGTGATAATGATATTTTGAATTTGAGTGGAACATGCCGAAGACGGAAGTCATCAATGCCAATGTCGGCCGAGATGTACTTCAGGCATAATAATATAACCGGCATAATAATATAACCGGCATAATAATATAACCGGCATGTTCAAACTTCTATACTGTCTGGAAGAATTTATAGTTGCTAACAGTAGAAAGTAAACAGTTAGACCTACCGGTAGTTGTGAATGTTGACTTCACAAAACTACAAAGTTTTAATTCTCGTCTGGTATTGAAATTGGAAATTAAATGTTTTGGGGGGCAAAAAGGAAGTTGAAATGTTTAATTATTTTCTGGCATTCATCATGATGCTTATTATTCATATCATATGTCAATGTGACTCGGGTATGTGCAGATTCTATTTTGATTTAGGCGGTAGTAGTTAGGCTTTTTATAGCCATCAATAGCCACTTTTACACTGCAAGCAAGAATCATTGATTTTTCTCACATCATTCTGGTGTTTGGTCAGAAGTTGCTATCCTATTTAGGAACTACGTGCTACAAATCTATGCTAGATCTACGAAATAGGAAAATCCACCTCTGGAATGTGCTTTTTGTTTAACTGTTGCAGAAATTTAGCTGATTTTTGCAGTGTAAATGCAAGTTCTCGAAACATGGGTGAATGATTACGGTTTATGGTCACAGAAAAATCGGAATGAGCAAAAAACAAATTTGTTATGGGTTTTTCCAGGAGTGTAAAAATGGCAGTCCAAAAATCAATGATTTTTCACAATGCGGTTTACAACTTTTCATGTCATTTGTAAAGGGAATTCCAACCCAAATAGACAACTACTCTTATTCTTAAAGAAATCGGAACAAATCAGAGAAGCAAACTGTTAAAAATTTCAATTAAATCTGATTGAATATAAGAAATTAAGTTATAAATTGTTTAAAGTTGTAATCACTATACGTATTGGCACTTCAAATGGGCTGAAGCGGTAATTTGATGTAGTGCCAGACTACTTTTCCATCTGTTCCAATAATAAATATATAAAATGACTCAACTTAAATTTTTCAAAAATTCATTGCTAAGGAGGGTCTACCACTATTCTTTTTCAGAGGACCTACAGTGTAAATGTATACTAATATGCTTTCTATTTTGAGTAGTGCCCCAAGGAAGAAGGAACCTGCGAGAAAAACAGAAATGAATGATATTTTTGTACACAGCAAATACGAGAGTTATCCACATCCTACGTCAATGCACTGACTAAACTAACAATTTGACATTCGTACGTCTAGTGATCTCATATTTCAAACATTCATAACTTCCTAATTACTATTGGTCCGATTCATTTCAAACTTTTGCCATTCTGTTCATGTTATTTTTCTGCTTTCATACAAGTTATTACAAGAGGTGGATTGCCCTTTAAAGGTAAAGACCAGTTATGGTCATGCGATTGCATTGTGAAAGAAACGTTGTGGAATCGATCAGAAAAGGTTGATCATCTAGCATCTAGCATCTAGCATCTGCAAGGTTCTGGAATCATCAAAATGATAAGAAATTTGGCCCATTCCTCATAAAGTTACAAGCACTATACACAGAAAGATGTATATGGGACTACCCTATATCTCTCACAGACCATGAGAGAAACAAATTTAACAAATATATGAATTAGTAGGCGGTTTCCCGGCAAATTTTGTATCATCATGTATTAGTCAAAACATATTCTTTCACATGATTGGTAATGAGAGCTTCCATTTCATTTTTTGAAATTTGGGCGTTTCCAATACTGGTCTTTACCTTTAAATGACATCAAACATGATTTGGGGTTCAAAACCAGTTCTGCCAGTCTAACTTTTTTGTTAGCAAAGGTTATTAAAGGAGATTAGACAGTTCACAGGAACCTGTTGTTATTGGTCAGACCCAAACAATCTGACAATTGCGATATCCTCAACCTTGAAATGAACCTCGTATGCTAGAGCACTGGCTTTTCAGGTAGACTCTCTTCCCAGCCACAATGAGGTTATGTAACAGTGTACATGTTTGGTAACCATGAGACTGAGTACTCTAATCAACATTTTCCAGACATGCTTATTGTGATTTTTAGTCTCATGTTGACCTCATGTCAATTATGACCTTTCCCTCTCTCTTTCTCTTTCTTTTTTTTTACACCTGTTATAGTGCTTTGTGGAAGAACATCAGATAAAAATGTTCCCTTAAAAGCATGGCTCTTCAAATGCATTAATATTCTAAATATGGCATGTAACAGCATACAAATCGGGACAGATTTTTATGCCACATGTTCGTGTAGTCCCATATACAATATTTCTGTGTACAGTATGTGTAACCAAGACTGGGCCAAATTTAGTATCAATTTGATGATTCCAGAACCTTGCAGTACACACCAATACTTACATGTATGCTAGATGATCAACGTTTTCTGATTGATTCCACACCGTTTCTTTCACAATGCAATCGCATGACCAGAAATCCAGAACTCAACTTTATCTTTTAAGCCGGCTAGGAAAGAAGCATTGCGGCGCCAGTATCCTCACTCCTTGGAGGTGTCAAAAACATTGCAAAACATAGAATTTATTTTTAAAAATGCAAAGTATTTCAGCTGCCACTTCTTTTTCTTTTGAATAATAAAAAGTGCCAGATTAATTATGATATGAGAGCAATTTGATTACTCTGCCCGTAAGTATGGGTAATTATGATGTACCGTAATTAACGTTGTATAAACCGACTTTGTGTATTAACCGCACCTCTCTTTTTAGGCCTTTTATTTATTTATTTATTATTTTTTATTTTTTTATTTTTTTAAAAAAACCCACGCGGGAAGGCCTTTCATTTAACTGGGAGGTGCAGCTAAATGTTTAAGATCATTAATGTAAATTAAAAAACAGTAGAGGACCTAGGATAGAACCTTGTGGTACACCGTATGTAGGAATTATTATTATAAACTACATATTGAGATCTATCAGAAAGATTACTTTCAAACCAAGATGACAGACAAATTTGAGTATTGTTCTAGTTTCCTAGTGGTGAGTCAACACATCGATTACTGAGCTGGGAGACATTGCCAGGCATAGCGCCAGGTGGAGGGGCATAAATCGAAACTTTAAAAAAAATATGTGTATACTATAAACCGCACCCCCGACTTTGAATTTTTTCAGCGGTTTATACACCATTAATCAGGTACATACTTGTGCGTATGCTTTAAAATTTCTGTAGCAGTTCCTCACTACAATTTTTAGAAAAGGCATGTTTAGTACCTCTGCAAAGTTTCATTGAAAAGGAAAGCACACTGTACAATGTAGAAAGGGGCAGTTGGGGAAGGGAGCAAAAATGTTACCGACATCGCTTATTGCAAAGGTTATTCTTTCCAGGAAAATTATTAAATTTGTCTGCCCTTTTCAGGGGTAGGGGACGGGGACAGGGAGCAAAATCTGTTTACCACTATTTGTTGTTCTTGAGGTTTTTCAGTCTTTCAAATGTTGATAGTATGCTATCAAAGCAAAGAGCCTATTAGTTAATCGTTAAACAGAATTATGCATCAATGTATTTAGTGTTCAAACCTAAGCCAGCTATTAGTCTGCAAACTAATGACCTGTTCATCCACACACAGGTTCACTGTACTGCAGGCCTTCAAAAAATATACATGTACATCTGTATGTAATTTATGAATGGAGGCAGTAGATTCAGTTGTACTGCATGCAACTTGTATTAAAGCTGATACATTTTCTATTGTTTGCATCCTTTAAAGCCACACTGTCCTACTTGTTGCTATACTTGCTCCCTCTATATAGAAAACAATGCCTAATCGGTGACCATTGGTCCCCCATGATCCTCTTTTTCTTATGTTAATTGAGAGCTGAGTTGATGAGATAACCACCTGTCACAGTGACCTCACTGGCTCGCTGGGTGGTCTAATCCCTTCTAGCTGAAGTAGTAAAGCCTGCCTTTAAAGCCACACTGTCCTACTTGTAGCTACTTGCTCCCTCTATATAGAATACAATGCCAAATCGGTGACCATTGGTCTCCATGATCCTCTTTTTCTTATGTTAATTGAGAGCTGAGTTGATGAGATAACCACCTGTCCAGTGACCTTGCAGAGTGGTCTTATCCCTCCTATAAACTTATACAGATAAGCTTTAAAGGCACACTGTCCTACTCGTAGCTACTTGCTCCCTATATAGAAAACTTCCCCAATCGGTGCCTGTTGGTCCCCCACGATCCTCTTTTTCTTATGTTAATTGAGAGCTGAGTTGATGAGATAACCACCTGTCCAGTGACCTTGCAGAGTGGTCTTATCCCTCCTATAAACTCGTACAGATAAGCTTAATTTGCATTTTGAATAGCATACCTGTACAGTACCTACATGTAGCTAACCTGAATGCTGAGCCTGGCTGCACAGACTAGCTGAAAGGGGGTGTGGCCTCTGGAACCAAATGCATGCATGCATGTATGCCAAGCATTGGGGGTATATATACAGGCTTCCCTAGACATGTTAGGCCTCTTTCATATCAGCTACTCCTGAGGATCAGACGTGCGTGGTGAGAGAGCTGGTGCAGCACAATAGCAGGGCAGCTGAATTTATTCTTGTGACATTTACATTCTACCTGAGCCCCGGCACATCTGCTTAATAAACACCTCCAAATTCTAAGGAGTGGAATTCTATCATTTTTGTGTAGCGACAGATTATTGGAATACTATGGCGAGGTATGAATTCATTAATTGTGATAGTTATATAGATTTAAAGCAAATGTAGACCTTCTATCATTATTTAGTTCTAACATGGCTTGATTTTATAGACTGAACTGTTTTTTTTTGTCTAGCAACAGGTTATTGGTCATTACAAGGCATGCATTGGTTTTGATTATCATTTACAACATGAAGCATGATTCCAACTGTCTACCAAAGCACATTAAATATACATTCAACAAATGAATTTACTGTATTTATCAAGTAACATACAGGTACATGTATAATTGGATATTTTAAGGTTACGGTTGCAAGGTATGCATTTATTTAATTGATTTTTATAGTTACTGAAGTATAAGAATTAAATCAAATGCATAAAGCAGCTGTATTTAGGCCCATTTAAATGACAGGAATTTCTTTTTGAGAAACCATTGGTATTTTATATTTCCGTGTTTTGGTGAGTTGTGCCTGTGCACCACTTGTTGCTGCTCTGCTTGCGATAGCACAGAAGCACCAGAATAATTCCAATAATTTTTGAGAGTGAGCATTTACACTGCAAAAACTAGTGGAATTTTTGCCTACATACAAAAATAAAACACTTCAGAGGTGGGCTTTTTATGTGTTTTTTTTCTTCGTTCTGTTCATGGGTAGTAATTAGCCTAGCGACTTTCAAAAAAAAAACCTGGGATGGGAGAAAAAGCAATGGTTTTTGCTTTCAGTGTAGAAGCCCCTATACATGTAGTATCAAATTCTTTGACAGAATACAGTTCAGCAGTATTAGAAAAATCAATATTTGATAGGGAGAACAAAAATTGATTAAAAGGGTTTGTGTTTTTAATTTCTGGTTTCAAACGCTGTAAACCTTTCTTCTTCTACTTTTTTAAAATATATTTTTCACAGTCATCACCTAAATTTTTGTTTGGTAATCGATGATGTTGCAAGCATCCTCATGATTGATAATTAATGTGCAGTGTAGATATCTACATTTTATCCAAAATGTCACAACTGACACTTTGAAATATGAAATTCTTATAATTGTTTTAGTAGAAGTACAGTACTGCGCTCTCTCACCATGTATGAATTTTTATTCTGAATTCAAAGATGATAAACATAATAACCCCAAATTTAGCGCATTATCTGTTGTGTATCTGCTTGGTTTTGTCATTTATTTGCAGTCAAACTCTGTAGTGCAAATACTCTGATATTTCAGAGCCTTTTTTAACATTGCCTCAGTTTTATATAAATTGCCCTTTTTATACAGACAGTGCTAAGGTCAGCTCTTAATGTGCCTGAATTAGAGCTTGATTGGTATTTAATAGAGCACTCGGGGGGGGGGGGGGGGGGGGCAAGTGGCTCTCCTTTTTAGGAGTGCCCTGTTGATATCAATTTGTCAATGTATTGAGGAATAATGAGACCATTGAGACGTTAGCATTACAAAAAGCCTATGCTGCATCTGCACATACATGGACATGTAGTATGGCTCACAGGGCCAGTACTAGGAACACAAACATTTGAAGACATTTGTAATGTCATTTTAAATTTGATTAGTAATAAATGATAATTATATTAAAGTGAACCAGTAACATTGTTGAAGGTCGATGAAAAAGCTGCATAATTTTGTACGAAATGTTTCATTATTATATTCCTTCTACATGCCAAAAAATCCTGAAAAAATTCTTAAACCACAAAGATATTCATAGTTTCTTTGAAGGCGTCACTGTGCGACACCCTGTAACAGTAAATTCTACCAACCAATTTTTGAATTTTTCCCAACCGTTTTTCCATGAAAATGGACATAAAACAGGCTTTTTTTAATGGAAAAAAATCAGTGCAGTGGGTTCTTAACGTGCAGAGGTGGTGTCGGTTCTCTACATGGGCCTCCATTTAACGTCCTATCCGAGGGATCAACATCGTCATTGAGCTCACCAGCTGCCTTTGTGAAGATTTTTGTCTTAAATTTTTATTTACATATTGAAATTATCTTTCATTTTCTTGATACAAAGAAAATAAATGGTTTTGTTTTGTTTTTTCTTGCTGTTTCAGTGAAGGTGCCCTGTGTGGAATTGGTAATCCTCTCCTGGATATATCAGCAAATGCAGATGCAGAGATCCTTGCAAAGTAAGTTATTATATTAGTTTCTAACAATATGTATATAATACAGTGCGTCCCAGAAAAAACGAATTTGTTTTCACTGGCTGCCTGCCGTAGCAACAAACAGAGTTAAGTCTCTTGTCAATTCTGCTTGTTGCTACGGCAGGCAGCCAGTGAAAAAGAATTTGTTTGATAAAATCATGGAAATGCAAGCACTACTTTAAACAAACAGAACTTGATTTTCTCTTTGAAATTCAGGTACCGTCCGCCAAATGACTTTTTGGTTTCCCCTCTTCAAATTAATTTTAATCACTCATGCGTGAAATATGCATTATATGAGTTGCATCAAATGAAAGAGGAGGATCTAAGCTTTATGTGTCATTTATCAATTATAATTGTGATTAAGTTATGATAAAACATCGATAATTCTCGGTTTCGTTTTTTCTGGGATGCACTGTATCTATATGTATTATGCAGTTTTATTCTCTGGCTCTTTTAAAAAAATCCCATCTACTTTTTAGATCGATTGTGCTCCTGTTTAATCTCTCTCTCTCTCTCTCTCTCTCTCTCTCTCTTTCTCTCTCTCTCTCTTTCTCTCTCCTATTAGATATGACTTGAAACCTAATGACGCTATCCTGTCAGAGGAGAAACATTTACCCCTCTTCAAGGAATTGGCCGACAAGTATGAGGTAGAGTACATCCCAGGTGGAGCTACACAGAACACCTTCAGGGTAGCACAGGTAAGAGAGATTGTCCAACATCAAATTGAACAAGTGGGACTGAAGAAAATAATTTAAGCATGTGGCACTTCTCTATCCTTTTTCTGCAATTTTTCTGGGTACCCTCATTCCAAAAGGGTTTAATTTCCAGTTAGACAATGCACCTTTGATGTCTCCTGTAAAAACATGTTGTTTGTTGCGTCAGGACCCTGCCATCAAACCATCAAACTTGTTGTCAATAACAAGTTCCAACAAATGTTATAAGCTATTGAAATTGTAGCATAATAATTGGCTGAGAGCAAATTTGTCACAGAAATTAAGCATTTCTTATTGAAAACAAGTTTTATGAAACGGGCCCAGATGTTACACTTGAAAGAAACCTTTAAAGCTTGTCTGTACTAGTTTGGCTAGGGGGGATTAGACCTCCCTGCAAGGTCACTTGACAGGTGGTTATCTCATCAAATCAGCTCTCAATTAACATTAGAAATGGGGTCATGGGGGACCAACAGGCACCGATTAGGCATTGATTGCTATATAGAGGGCGCAAGTAGCTATAAGTAGTGCAGTGGGGTTTAAAGATGGGTGCCTAAAACCAGGTTTGCATTTGATTCTCTCTTGCTTGACAGTGGATCCTGGACCAGCCTAAGGTCAGTACATTCTTTGGTTGTATTGGCGATGATGAGTATGGGAAGGAGCTGGCCAACGGGATGGAGAAGGCAGGATGCGTCGCTAGGTACCTCGTCGATAAGGAGGTCGGCACGGGAACATGCGCTTGCATTATCACATCAGGGGGCAAGAACAGGTAAACAATATTATTATTATTATTATTATCATTACTTATACCGCGCTTTTACCATAAGGCCCAAAGTGCTTACAGTGAATCAAAATCAAAATCAAAATTACGTAAATACATATAATAAGAAAAACAGTTTTACAACTACAAACTGCAAAAAAGATGTGTTTTTAAGACCTTTCTGAAGGTACCGGTAATAACTGATGGAGATGGAATTCTAAATGATAGATCATTCCAGTATTTTGAAGCATATACATTAAATGTCCTATCACTGGCTAATGTGCGGGGAACTGAAAACCAACAACTTGTGAAAGGTTATCAAAATACAGTGAAACCTGTTTATAGAGATCACACAAGGGAGACAAGAGAAGTGGTCTTCATAGGCAGGTGGTCTTTATGTACAGGTTCCGTGAATACATACGTCAATGTGAATAATCACTCAAGGAAGACTTAACAACATGTGGTCTTTATAGACAGGTGGTCACTAAAGTGATTTCTAAGAGTTGGCATTTGAATACAATGGTGGAGTAGTACAGCATTGATCTTGTAACCAGGAGGTCCATAGTTCAAACCTAGGCCGAGTGTGTTCCTGGAGAAACGCACTTGTCTTGTAACATCAGGGAACAAAAACAAGTGCACAATACCAACAACAACAACAACAACAAGAATATCATAATAAATGATTAACACAAATTGTGTAAGATTCTAAGAGTAGGCATTTGGATCCAGTGGTAGAGCGGTAAAGCATTTGTTTTTGTAACTAGGAGGTCCTTGGTTCAAGCCCAGGCTGAGGATGTTGCCAGATTCTCGTTGTACAGAGTTGTACTCTAATTACAACAAATAAACAACAATAGAAATGACTGATCAAAAAATTTGAATGCAAAAGATCCACTTATGCTCTGTACATTACTGGGCCTCAGCGATTTAAACAAAATCCTCTTTATTTTTTCTTCTTAAAATGCTGACTTGGCATCTCTGCACCATGCCCCAAATTTAGCATTTGTTGACTTGAGTTGTCTGGTAAAATTCCAAAGGTTGCTCAAACAGGATCATCAAAATACTGTTAAGAAGAAAAGCAAATAGTACATGCTAAGAGTGCAGAGACTTGTACAAATTGCAGCTGGGTTGATATGAGTATATGGTGAATATGGAGAAAAGTGGCCGCTACAAACATGTGGTTTGCTTTTCCAGACTCTCTTGAAAAACAGATTTGTATGAGCGACATACATGTAGTTCAAGAGAAACAAAACAAATGGGTGTCCTGACAGCTTGACTGGGCTCAGTATTTCCTCAAAGATATCATGTAGCTCAGTGATGTAGCTGATTTGATAGGCATATACAATACATGTCGATAAACCAGTAAAGACCGCTCAAGTGAGAGGAGAAGAGTGGCCACTACATACATGTGGTTTTCTTTTGAAGACTCTCTTTAAAAAAATGATTTATATGAGAATCATATAGTTCAAGGGGTAAAACAAAAATGCAAATGATCCACTTAAAGATAAACTTGAGTTCTGGTAAAAAAAAGAAAATTAATTCTCACAGAATCAAACCAAACTTACACTGAATGTTGAAGATTACACATAAATGTCATTTTCCAAACAATTTTGGTAGAAAATGTATACTGGCTGAATAATGAGCATAGAAAGATAAGGAAATCAAGGTAAGTAGGCCTGACACCATTTGTGTAGTCCCATATACATCTTTCTTTGTACAGTGCTTGTTACTTTACCAAGACTGGGCCAAATTTCTTGTCATTTTGATGATTCCAGAACCCTGCAATACACACCAATACTTACATGCTACATGATCAACTTTTTCTGATCCATTCCACACCTTTTCTTTCACAATGCAATCGCATGACCAGAATTCAACTTTATCTTTAATTCTCTCTCTCTCTTATTTCTCTTCTTTTTTTCTTCAATTTTTTAATTTGCTCTTCCCGTATTCTAGTCTCCATCATTATTTATTTTCTTCTTTTTTCTCTTCAAACAGGTCACTCGCTGCAAATTTAAGCGCAGCTAACTGCTTCAAAGCCAGTCATTTTGATGATAAGGAAAATTGGGACTTAGTTAAGAAGAGCAAGGTCATGTACTCAGCAGTAAGTATGAATCAATTTTTTTGTCTTCCTCTTCCCCTTTCCTTATGATCAACAATATTGAAAATAAAGTGAGATATTTGAAAGACATACTGTTTGATATCTACATACATGTGCGTTGGCATCATAATTCACTTTCAAATTTCAAACTTGGTGGAATTACAAAAAATGAGGTGGCTCTTAAATGTTCTTAAATATCCAAATATGACAAGAAATCACATTAGTTTGGATTTTATAAAATTGTGTAGTCCCACGTACCCATTTCTTGGTGCACTGCCTGGAGTTTCATTAAGATGTAGTCAATATCCTCTCATTTTGGTGATTCCAAAACCTCACAGAATACACTGATTTGGATGATCTACGTAACCAACCTAATGAACCTATCCTTGTTGATTCCAGACAGTTTCCATTACAGTGACTATGTAACATTGCCTCAGATTCTGAAACAAAATCCTGGATTTAGCTCATGCTGCAATCATAATTATAAACCTTTAGGTCAGTCAGGAATCCCATTAAATTTACAAGCCAATCGCTTGGCTGATTATCAAGATATTTACAATTGGAATTCAAAATTTCATTTTTTGTTTTTTTATAAAACTACAGTCTATTGGAGAAAAAGAGTATGGTAAAACCGGTCACTCGAAGATTTTTACTTTTTTGAGGCACTTCATGATCATTTTGAAGCGCTAATTTTGTTAGGGCTTCAATATTACACCATATCACAGACACTGATGACATGTAGGGCCTTGCATCTCAGATGTTACATTATCAAACGATGCCTTTAGCAGATGGACCGTCTTTTCTTGTTCACATCCTAGGGCTTTCATTTAACAGTAGCTCCCGATGCTATGTTACTAATGGCCAAGCACGCTAACGAAGAGAACAAGATTTACTGCACCAATCTCTCGGCACCATTCCTGTGTGACTTCTTCTCGGAGCCCCAAATGAAGCTCATGCCTTACGTTGACTACCTCTTCGGCAACGAGACTGTGAGTGATACATGAAATCCTTCAGTATTTTAAAGAGAAGGTTGAGTTCTAGGAAGAGGTGAAAAATAATTTGTGAGCGTTATCATTTTTATTATGCAAGTGGGGAAGAACATCAGATGAGACATGTTCCCTGAAAAGCGTGGCTCTTCAAATGCCTTCATGTCATGTAAAATCGGTGAAAGGTGAAAGGTCATAGCTCATTAACTATGCAAAAACACCTAATTATATATGTGAAAATGTGGTTAACTTCCTTGCCTAGTAATATAATAGTATAGTCCAATGGAGGTAACTTGTTCTGACGTATATAGGCCATTTGTACCCTGCAAGGGGATGCTATGCTATGCGTTGACTTGTTTTCTTTGGTGTGATATCAGTAAAGAAGAAGTCATGCGGGCTTGTGTCCCTCAAGCTTGATTGACAGGACCCCAACGACTTATCATTATCAGGACATTATATACATGTATGCTCATAGTTTATTGCTATCATTCAGGTCTGTAGGGTTTAGAATATGTGGGTATGTTTTATCTAAACTTTTTGAAAGATTGGTTTGTCTAATTTTTCTGCTTCTATTGAAAGTAAGTTATTTTTGGAGTGGACTTGGCCTTTAAATAAAGATGAAATTTACAAACGCTTATTACTTACTCACTACTACAATAGACATCTAATATGTGACACCTAATAATGTAACAGTAGAAGGACTCTTCATACATGATGCTCTAAAAATTTCTCTCATTCAATATTATCTTATGACAAAATAGGTTTTATGCCTTTGTTCATAGTAGCAGAAAAGATTTTTTTAATGTTTCTTGATTCTTTTACTTTCATTTTCGTGTAGGAAGCTGCCAGCTTTTCAAAGAAGCAAAACTTTGGGGTAAGTTAAAGTGATGATAATGAAAATGTTGATAATGAGATTAATTCATATAGCACAGCTTCTACATAAATATACATTTGTATATTGTCACATCACGTCCCATCACATCTCCACGTGGTGGTGGTGGTGGTGGTGGTGGTGATATATTATTATTCCAAGGGAAACCTTTATCTAAGACATGCTCTCCCGGGATCTCCCATACACTTCAGTATATAATGACCCTTGCTGCTTGCTCTGAAAGAAACTGGGACACCTTGACTGACAACTACAGAAAATCCCAAAATCCTTGTGTTATACAGCGCTTCTCGACCTACATATATGAACCCTGCGAGGCACACTTCTCGTGGTCCCAGCCATTTCCCGATATTAAAAGCTGGTTTCATGAGGTGGCAGAAAAAAAAGTTCAAAGCACCGAGATCACTCAAAACCTTACACTATTAATATGATGATGATGATGATCATCATTATTATTACATTATCATCATCATCAGAGCAATTAGTTGTTTACCTACCAATCATACATGTAAATGTTTATGTTTCTCTCTTCTTTTTAAATAAATTATTTATTTATTTACTTACTTACGTTCTTATTCCCCACACAGACAGAAGATCTCCAAGAGATAGCCTTGAAAGCAGCGGCTCTTCCCAAAGAAAACAAGAACAGAGAAAGGGTTGTTGTGTTCACCCAAGGTGATAAACCCACCATTGTGGTCAAAGGTACGTTGTCCGCTATTAGCGTGTTCAGACTATGGGCATTTTATATGAAACTTGTATAAGGAAACGAATAAAGAAACGTATAAAGAAACGTGTAAAGAATCATCGTAATGTGAAAGGGTTATTGTGTTCACCCAAGGTGATAAACCCACCATTGTGGTCACAGTTACGTTGTCCGCTAATATCCTGTTCAGAGTAAAGGAATTTTATATTTAACTTGTATAAGGAAACATATAAAGAATCATTGTAATGTGAAAAGAGCGTATAGACTAGAAAATATATACCGTATGAAGGAACATTGTATGAAGACCAAGTTTGATGAGGTCTATTGACATCGAAGCTGGCCGATCATGAGTACTCACACCCAATATGCTGCACTCGGTTATACGGTGTTCATACGTACAAGGATGCAAGGATGACTGAGAAGATGTTGGATGAAAGATGTCAAAGGTCACAGGGTCATAAAAGTGTTAAACAATACAACAACATATCTCTTTACCATGATAACTTGAAAATTACAAAAGCAAAAGCTCCGAAGGGAAACCAAACTTAGATGAAGTATGTATGAGCATGCAAGGATGAACTGATTTTCAGATTTTTCTTATTTAGAGAGCAATCCTTTTTAATGGACATTACAACTATCTATACAAAAATTATGGATTTGTTAATCAGGAATAATCTGAACTTGGCCTTAAATGAAAACAGTGAAGATGTCATTATATGACCTGTCTTTTTTTTCCTCTTTGTAGGTGGCAAAGTGACGGTGTATGAGGTCAACCTCATCAAAGAAGAGGAGATCGTAGACACCAATGGAGCTGGAGATGCCTTTGTTGGAGGTAAGTACCGGTCGATGACCCCTTCCAGGCAAACCCTCAAATCGGCCAATATGTACAAGCACAGAGAAAACTGCTGTAGCGACCACCTCTCCATAAAGACCACATTTCAGTTTCCATTGATTAGTATTTGTCATAGAAGCATGTACTAAAGGAACCTGTACACCTGCCTATAAACGACCGCAATTCTTGTTTCCTCTGAGTGGTCTTTACATACAGGTTTCACTGTACAGCTTTTACCAAAGGAACCCATTCCCATTCCACATGAAAAATGACTGTAATTTTGCTAATAAAGAATATTTGCCACCATACTTTTAGGAGTTTTCAATTATGATTTTTAACAACATTCTGGCCTTTTTACAAGTTTTGAGATTTTCACTGTGCAAATCACTGCAATTCACTGTGACTAGTGATAGGTTCTTGTGAGGAATTTGACATCATTCAGGTGTTTACCCCATAATAGGTGTTGTCAAATATCCGTAGTGGATTTTACTTTTATGACCAACCGATCTTATGTAATACACTGTGCTCTCTAGCAATTGCCCCTTGATTTAAGGATGAAATATCAAAAAATTCCACTCACCTGCAAGATTTTAAGGCAAGCTGGAGTTATTTTCTGGTGGGTCAGTTTCACTGCATGGTACTCTTTACACACATTAATTTGGAGTTCAACCAACTCTGGCATCAACAAAATACTTGGCAATACACCTAGAAACCGGTGACTGTGGCCTTGTGACAGCAAACATATCAGGACAATTACCCCCTGGATAATTACCCCCCCCCCCCCCCCATCTGTTCATTAAAGGGGAAGTCCACTCTAATAATAAGTTTGTTAAAATTAAAGAAGATTTTTTTTGTTTTGTTGGGGGGTGGGGGGGGGGGGATGGGGTAATTTTCAGGGTAGTATTTGTCCTTGGGGGGGGGGGGGAATTTTCCTGCTGGTAATTGGCTGGAGGGGGGGGGGGGGGTCAATTGTCCTAGAGCCAATAGCAATATAAAATGATGCTTTGAGTCAACAAAAATAAGTGTCTACCCTATTTTTTTATTGTTCTAATCTATTGTGTATGAGAAATCATTGCACCTGAAATATCTTTGTTCCATTTTCATAATGTGTGCATTTCTGCATCCAGAAAAGGTTGTACTATCAGAACATGAATGTACATTTTGCCTCTCTCTTTCTGAATCCTTTAGGATTTCTGGCACAACTCGTACAGGGTAAGGATATAGCAAGCTGCGTCGAGTGCGGACACTTTGCAGCTCGGTACATCATTCAACGCTCCGGGACAACCATGGAAAATAAAGCCAACTACAAGTAGAACATCATCTAGTTTTCTCACTTGACCACGTTAGGTCATTAAATGTGTACTGTGCCGTTGTAGTGAAAGTTGTAAGGTAGCTTTAGCGAAAGGTAGTGGCATGTAAAACCGCAGCTACAAAACAAAACACTGCATCTAGTGGCTTGTCATTCTGTGATGTCTGAGTAGAAAAGGCTTTATCTACCACAGCCTTTCATGTTGCTACATTACCTTACAATCATGTACATAAACCCTTCTTTAGCTCAAATTTGTAGTAGCTGCTACATTTTTTGTACCGACCACAATAACATCATTTTTTCCCGAGAGATATATACAGTTAATCATTACGGTGAGGGTACAGAGGTGGAGCAATCTTTTTTCAATATCTTCTAGAGAATGAGAAAGTCTTGATTCAGAATCTTCTGCCCTATTATAATATAAAATAACTACTTGTTGTTATAATCTCAAATAGAATTATGCATTTGCCAAAACTATTCCTAAATTTGGAGATCTAAGTTGTGCATCTCTTCCTTCTATTGTACATGCAGTAGCAAATCATGATTTTGTTTAATTTGCATTTGATTGTAATGTGGATACAAGAATTTTCTTTGACTTTTAAAGCTCTAATTTAGGCTCTTCATTCCAGAATGAGAGATTGAAATTTATATTTTAATTACATTATTGACTCTCTGTACATTTAATTGTACATTTGTCACTGCACGTTTATCGATGCATCTAATGCTATGGCCAATATTCTTTTTTTTTTTGGGGGGGGGGGGGTCTGTTCTGACTTTAAAACTATTCTGTGATCGTTATAGAGAAGCATTGTGTATTGAGTAACTGTATTTCACCAGTTATACATGAAGTCCTTATCCGTCAGTGTTATCATAAAGTAAAATTAATGATTTCTGTTTTCATACCATGTCTAACGTCTTCTTTAAGATTTTATGGAGAAAGTCACTCTTTCCTCATCTTCTGTTATAAGCAGTTGGTACATGTATCGAAATAAGAACATAAAGGTAATATTTTATATTGTCTGTGCGGATGAAACTCTAATAATAATACGATTGCAGGGCCCTCAGGGAGAACAGTATGAATACTGATGAGGCTACCCTGGGTAAACAAGACATATTATCATTATTATTATTATATTTCTTAGAAATTTCTCAGGTTTAATTTCAATGGCCCATTTACAATTACTTACTAAACAATAACAATAGCTATCCTTGTACTTGTATCCGTCCATGTGGGACAAATTTTATCAAGGAATCAGGATAAAAAGGAAGTGAAATGGACGTTGTGGTGTTTCTTTCTTTACAATTAACATAACAAATGTTGGGGATGTTTGTTGTGTTGTTGCTGTTTTAAATGAGGGATCCTGTGCATGGTAATGTGCGTTTGGTAAATTTTCTTGAATGATGAAGAATGTCAGTGGAATAAATGTATTTTATATGAGGAGGAGGAGGAGGAGGAGGAGGATGGCGGTAGTGATGATGGTGATGATGGTGAATGGCAGTGGAATAAATGTATTTTTGCGGAGGATGGTGGTGGTGGTGGTGATGATGATGGTGACTGGCAGTAATGTGTTGATAATCACTAATGAAGATGATGTTGGTCAATGTTCTGATTGTATCACTGAACTTGATGAGAATGATGAAGGGTAGTGTGATGACGATGATGACAAATGTCATTAAATCGTGATGATGAATTTTGATTATGACGATGGTGAGGGCAGTGGATATGATGAATTTATGGAGATAAATGGTAATCATGATTAATTGTGATGGTGATGATCAAAGGTGAGTGTTTTAAAGGAGGGAAATGCCATGACAGTCTCATCTTTCAATTTGCTCTGTATTGAATTTGTTTACTTTCTTTCCTTTTCTTTTCTTTACATACTTTTCTCATCTTTGCTATTCCTTTCTTATCTTTTCTTTTCTCTTCTCTATTTTGTTTTTCCTGAGGCTTGAAGTCAGCTAGATATGAAGAAAGACAAGTGTATCAACATTAGGAATACTTTATTGCATGCAATTAGTGTCCTAGTAGTAAAACGATATCATATGAAACGGCTTTGTACACGGATCACTGCTCAATAAACTGGAAATTAGACTAATTATGAAAAGATTCTGCTTGAGGGCTAGGTTACGATCGCCTACGTGTACGCTTTCACCAGTAAGGATACGAATTTCTTATTTTGGTTCGAGAGAGGGCAGCAAACAACATCGTATATGAGCCACTGAGATCTTCTTCTTCTTCTTCTTCTTCTTCTTCTTCTTCTTCTTCTTCTTCTTCTTCTTCTTCTTCTTCTTCTTCTTCTTCTTCTTCTTCTTCTTCTTCTTCTTCTTCTTCTTCTTCTTCTTCTTCTTCTTCTTCTTCTTCTTCTTCTTCTTCTTCTTCTTCTTCTTCTTCTTCTTCTTCTTCTTCTTCTTCTTCTTCTTCTTCTTCTTCTTCTTCTTCTTCTTCTTCTTCTTCTTCTTCTTCTTCTTCTTCTTCTTCTTCTTCTTCTTCTTCTTCTTCTTCTTCTTCTTCTTCTTCTTCTTCTTCTTCTTCTTCTTCTTCTTCTTCTTCTTCTTCTTCTTCTTCTTCTCCACCCCTCAACCCCCCTCGTCCCCTTTCCCTCTTCTTTTTCCAAAATTCATTCTCTCTATCAGAAATAAAATGATTGTATTGTAGGCCTACAAGTATAGGTAATTGTAAAATCATAATAGTCTGCGCTGATGTATTTTTAGAGGTGAAATTCAAAGAAAACCACAAATATGTCAACTAATGTATCACTAGAAACTGGTAAGCTAACAGATGGCCATCGTACAAGTTATAGGTCAACTACATATCGGATGATTTATAAAAATACAAATACAACCACCTCCATAGCAGCTAGGATATACGAGAGATTCGCCGGAAAAATAACGATGTTTTAATGACGTCACTATATGGACTAACATGCACTGCCCAAGCAGACGACATCCCATAGAGAATTAGTTTAGTGTAAAATGTAATGGCATGTCAAACCATTCAAAAGGGGATATGGCCCGATTCTGATAACCAAAATATTTTGCTTGTAAATACAGGATAGGGGTTAATTAACAATCAAAGAAACCAGACTTTCAAATTGAAACCCCCCCGGAATGATATTAAGGACGGCATTTGTTCCCTCTTAACGCCGGACATACCCCGGTGTGTGCAGCTGAATGGCGTCTTATTTTGTTTACAAGCGACAGATATCTTTATTTTTGTATCGCTGCATTTTTTATCAAAATAAATTCATGCACGGGGTTTAGAGTGAGGCAATATAATACATTTAGCCTGACGGTAGTGAAGTAAGAGAAAGAACTCAAGAGAAGATGAAAACACAGGCACTGAAAATGTGTGAGATGTCATGGGGCATCGTCTGCTTGTTGTTGCCAGGTTGGACAAACATTATAGCTTGACCTACCTAGCAACACTTGATATATGCAGTTGCATTCTGACTATTGAATTACTATTGTTCTTATCAGATCCATGATCCGTAATCGTGTCGGATTTAGCTCCAAAGAGCATTTGGAATAAAAACTCATTCCCAAATTGTATACAAATTTTTATACCAAGATTGAATGAATCTACTTTGAGGCCAAATCGTAAGGAAAAAGTGTTAATTGATGATTTATTTAATACATCATTATATCTATACAGGGGGAAATGCCATCACAAGATAATTGTGACGTTATTCAAAATGTATACAAAATTCTGACCAGAACTAAATTTAAGCAATTTCGACTAATATAAGTTGGAACGAATGAAAAAAAAGTCCCCTTTATATACTCCTTAGCATTTTTTTTCAGTTCTAACTGTAATTAGGGATTTTATTCAACCTATCTGTAGTCTACCTTTCATTCTTGAGTTACGAAAAAAGAGAATAAAATCTTTACAAATGGTTCGATTCTGGCTTAGATTTGTCAAAGGAGACCAAAATATATGATCTAAATCATTTATGATATTTAGAGAGATTATTTTTGCAAAAGGGTGATTGGATGAGAACTCCTTTGATTTCAAATTCATTGAAAGCACTTTTAATGAAGCTGGAATTGGGGAATGTAAGATTATGTTGTCCGGATGGATGAGGAATTTAGTACCAGCTGGATATTAAGAGCTGAATGATATGTTGAAACAAACTTGTGGGGGGGAGGGAGTGGGGGGAGTTTGATTTGATTTTTTTAAAAATTATTATTTGATTTGATTTTCCTCTGCATTCGTGTAAGTATACAGTTTTTTTCGATAACAATATTAATATAAAGTACAATAAGTATTTTACTGACAAAATAAGCAAATACATAGGCCTATATATATATATATATATAAATTGTTGTTTTCAAAAATCGAAATGATAAACTGTTATAAATACTAAATGTCCTCAATTAATGGTCGAATATACAGCATAATGTAGAAAGACTTGCCGTTTTCTTTATTTTTTGGGGGTGGGGGGGGGGCGGAATATTAATTTTGTCAGCACTTAATGATTAAGACATTATTGAACTATGCATATTTAGGTATTATCATTTACCTGTATATAGAGGCATGTTATAGATTACCATAATAAATATGATTGTAGTAATATTGGGGATGAATTCCATAATATTTTTAATATGTGCCCATATTTTGCAAAAGGCAGGCAAATTTACATCAAACGTTATTATGTATAGACTAACCAGGGACAGCATGCTAGATTATGCGGATACTGTTCAGTTCAGTCAATTATATTTGCCATTTTAAGCAACTCATAAAATTAATCAGAATATGTTTTCAAGGATTGTTCTCTCAGTGCTCATGACTCAAACAATTATGTAAGGAAGTAATATATCAAGTAGTAGTTGACTTGTAAATATGTTTTGCATGTATAGCTTAGTATTAATTCATTTGATTACTATAACTTTCATATAACTTTCTTGTTAGAACTTGATATAATGCTTTTAGTAGCACTGTTTATCTACTGTAAAGTTGATAAACGAATTATATTGTTTTTCAATATTATTTTTATTGTAGGCTACGCTCATAACCCGAAAAGGAGTCGGAAGACTCGACATAGTCAATATCAGCCCAACTTAATTCAACTCAGCTCAACAGTTCTTAGCAATTATAACCTTCAAGATGGTCGTCACGAGTGATACAAATTGTAATATTGAAATTTCCACATCACGATAGCGATAGAAAAAAAATTCTCTCTCCTTTCCCTCTGTTCATCTCTTTTTACCTTCTTTTTTTTTATTTCCCTTTTTTTATTTGTCTCCATCGCTTGTTGTTGTTAAAATTAATGGCGTTTTCCATCGTCGTTGGATGATTTTCGCTCTCCCCCACCCCTTTTTATAAGCGTCCAAAAAAAAGGGAGCCGCATGGCTGGGTAAGACGGACCACCCAATTTTAGCCCTTCATAAAAGGCCCCGGATGACATAAAAATTGCGGGGGGGGGGGGGTTGTGACCCCTCATTTTGTGTTTGCCCCTACAAAAAAAAGACATGTTTTTGCACATAAAGATAACTTAAGTTCGTATGTGACCGTTTGGTCAAAATAACGAATTGCAAGATATAGTTGTTCAAGTACGATATCTCACCCGCTCTCTCCCTCAAAAAATAAATTGATGGTTAGTCAGCAGGAGCCGCGGAGCGTTTTTAAAAGTGTGTGTGTGTGTGGGGGGGGGGGGCGTAGTTACTGAAAGAAAACAAACAATTAAGATGGGGGCAGCAGCCTTTCTGCCTGCCCGCTTGGTCCCGCTGCCCTACCGAAGGTAGAACGAACAAGACGGGGCCATGCCCAACAAATCTATATCAACAAAGTCAGGACGGATGCATACGCATACTCATTCTTCCCAAGGACAGTTAAGGACTGGAACAGTCTTTCTCCCTCAATTGTAGCCCAACCTTCCTCCTTAAATACTTTGAAATCTGCGCTTAAAACCAATTTAAAACCAGCACCTTAAGTTGGTGGCCGCACATGACGACACACCTCCAGTTTAAACACCTTTACGGCGTCCTTTGGAGGAATCCTATCAAGTACCAAGTTTCACTTGCAAATTTATATTCATTATAATATGGCTTTATTTGTTGTTTTTTGGTTGGAAATAATGAATTCACTTAAATACAATTTTACATCGTGACGCAACTTTATTGTCCCTCTCTATCCCTTTTTCTTCTCACGAGCAGATCCAGGAATTTGAAAGGGGGGGGGGGCATTATTTCAGACGAATCTGTGACAAGCAACAAAAAAAAAAAAAAAGGCTCACTAGTCTCGTTTTTAAAATAATTCATTCAGGATGCTTTTTTATTT